TCTTTTATTAACGTATAGAAAATGTGTTTAAAAAAGGAACTATACAGAGGCTAAAAGCTACCAGGACTAAAAGCACTAGTTCACAATGGTTAACAAGCGGAGACCCCAGTCTCTGCGCCACGGCCGGGACAGGCTGGGCGTCGTCCCCGCTCCCTTCCTGCCCCTGCGCTTTCCTTCTGTTTCAGTTCGTTGCCGCTGAGCAGTGCGGTGTTTTCCTTCTTCCTCTGGTCTTTCCTTCTGTGAACGCTTCTCCAAGCGTGTGGTAGCTACAAAGTCAGTAAGTTGGTCTTTGTTATTTTTACCTGAAAAGGCTGTTAAAGGTTAAGATGGCAAACGCAAACTCGGAGGGATGAGGACCTGGTGATGTCTCAGAAAACCGTCCGGGTGGGATTCAGCTGGCCGAGCCCTGATCGCCCCCACCTCCCATGCTCACAGGGCTCTCTTAGGGCGCCTGGCAGTCCTCTGGGCCGGAGTGTATTTGAGGTTTGAGTAACTGGGGGTGGGGGTGGGGGGGGAGAGGGGGTGATTGACAGGAAGGAGGCTATGTGTGTTAACTCCCACAGGTTCTGAACCTTGAGCCTGTGGGACCATGATGTGGGTCTAGGCCTCAGAGGGGACCTGGGTGGGGTGGGGTGCGTAGGGAGCGCTTTCTGGGCTGACGTGATCGCATTGACCAGGGTGTCTGGTGCCTCTCACAAGGGACCATGATGTGCGGGGCTCTCTCTCTGGGAGCGCGACCTATTCCTGTGTCTAGAAGGTCATTCAGTTAAGAGGAGAGGGTTCACTTCTGGGGTTTGGGGCCAGCAGCTAAAAATACAAGTTACCAAGAATTGGTTTCCTTATCAAGTCCCTGAAGTGGCAGAGAGAGAGAGGAGGTTGTAGCTGATGGTCCTCGATCCTCCCTGACCCTTGGGGGGGGGGGGGGGGGGGGGGGGGGGGAGGCGGGTAGGGGAAGGGACAGGGAAACCAGTGAGCAAGTGAGTGAGTCTCCTGCCTGTGTGACCTCCGGCAAGTTACTTAACCTGTCTGTGCCTCCATTCTCTCATCTGGAAAATAGTGAAACCCAATCCAGGGTTCTGGGGAGGATTGAACAAAGTAACACATGTCCAGCCACTAATCCCCCGTCTGGAAAACAGCAGGTGTGCATGAATCCCTATTCTCTCAGCCTTCGTTTGGGGAGAGGAAGTGAAAAAGTTTATGCCAAATCTGATCACAGCTCTGTTACTAGCCAGCCCTGTGAACTGTGAGCCAGTCGCCTAACCTTTCTGGGCCTGGGGGTGAAATGAGAGAGGGGTCAGATATGCAGTCCCCTCCAGTGCTGAAGGGGACTGGGAGATGCCAACTTGAGTTCCATCCCCCTGATCTCATGGGACAATTTGTTTTCTCTTGCCTCAGACTTGCCAAAGCTGCGAGAGGGGGCCTTGGACCTCAGAGGCTGGGGCGCAACCTGAAGGTGGGAGTCTGCCCAGCGTTGGCCTGTTGGAGGCAGTGTTGAGCATGTTTGTGTTCAATGTCAGGATGTTCAGAAGCAGCCCAGGGTCTCTGAAACCACCGAAGGGCAGAAACCAATAGTTCTCATCCGTGCACCTGCCTCCTGGCCATGTCTCTGGACCCCAACCCTCTCTGTGGCCTAGGGGTTCCCGGCCCCCTGGGAGAGCCGCTGGGGAGACCGAAAGCGTTAAACGCTTCTGACCTGGAAACAGCATCAGCCCAGCCTCACAGCCGACAATGAGGAGCTGTTTCACTAGTTAGCAGAGGCGGCAGAGTTTTTCTGAGGAACAAGAGCTGTGCTATTTGGATGTCCTGCAAGTGCCCGATTAAGCTTGGAGAGGAGGGAGGATTTCCGGTTTGGAGAAAAGGCAACACTGTCCAAAGACTGAGAGGCTGGCCAAGGACATTTGGACAATGAAGTGCTGCAGGTGCAATGAAGTCATGCTTCAGGCAAAGGGTGACCTCGAAAAATTAATCAGAAAAGCTGGAGGTGACAGATCGGGCTTGTGACTGCTTGGGAAGGAACGTGCGGTCCAGGCAGGGTGGGTGGAGCAAGTCAGTTTCTGTGCAGCGACAGGCCCCTGGGACCTCCACCTTCTCAGGTGAAGTGGGGAGCAGACAGGGGTGCTGGGCGGGGGGCGGCGGCACAAAGAGCAGGGAACTAATGCTGGCCCTTCACGCCGGGTCTCTGCATTTTTACTGTGGGTCCATCTGGAGAAGGCTTGCTTTTAGTCTCTAACGATCCAGCAGCTTCTCTTTTTTTTGTTATTTGGTGGCCAGGCAGAGCTGGCAGCAGCTCCCGGAACCTGGAGCTGTGGGCACGAGGCAGACTTCCATCTTCAGGTTGCGCCCCAGCCTCTGAGGTCCAAGGCCCCTCTCGCAGCTTTGGCAAGCCTGAGGCAAGAGAAAACAAATTGTCCCATGAGATCAGGGGGATGGAACTCAAGCTGGCATCTCCCAGAGATTCCTTTAAGGGTTTTGAGAGCAGACAGTGAGATGCAAGACGAATGCGCCCTTTGGAGCAAAGAAATGGGAGTAAGGAACTGGACTGGATGGGAGTCTGCTGATCAGAAAAAAGCCACAGAGAAGCACATGTCCTGAGCCAGGGGCTCTGCCTTTCCTGAAATCCTGGGTGGTAAAAAAAAAAAAAAAAAAAAAAAAAAAAAATTCAAACCCCAGGTGTATTTGCAATTCCCAGCCACCAGCTAGTGGGTGTCAGCGCCCTCAGCTTTGTGCACCTGCTGTTCTCACAGGTTCCATTTCCCCCAGAGGAGGGGACAGAGAGGAACTCTAAGCCCTTTCTCACCGGTGCTTCGACAAGAGCTTTTTGAAAAGGTCCCTGAATGACCTTTTGTCCTTGAATCTACAGCTCTGTCCTGGGACTGGCCTGTAAAGTCTACTTGAGGTTGGGATTGTTTGGTTTGGCATTGAGCTCGTTGGCAACCTTGGTGCTCCAGGTCTGTCTTGGGAAGGCCAGTTCTCAGGATGCCAGGAGCAGGTATGAGGTCTCTCACGTCTTCAAGAGGAGAGGGGCCGTGAAGGGTCCGGGGCATTGAACTGTTTGTGGAAGTTTTCTCTGCATTTCTTTGCTGCCATTATTATTGTTATTATTTACAAATCTGTTCATCTGTTGGCCGGTTTTCCTTTGGTGTGGGTTCTCCTGGTAACCTGGAGGCACTTGCTGTCCTCACCCCCAGATGACTCACAGTGGGTTACAGGAGGGGCTGGGGTTGTGATCGCCCCCTGGTGGTGACACTTAGCAAGCTCCCTCCTCCAGTTAAATCTGGTCTAAAGACCAGCACGAGTTTCCCACAGATTTGTCTTCCCTATTCCCTCCTGCACCTTCCAGAAATAACCCTGGAGAACGTGAGTTTACTGAGCTGGAAATGATCTCTCTCTGATGGGGAAATGCGAACAGGAGGAACTGTCTGGATCGTGGGTCTAGGCAGTGAGTCTGTAGCCGTCATCCGTGGGTTGTGTGTGTGTGTGTGTGAGTGCGCGCGCGCGCATGCATCCTGGGTGTCTCCAGCTAAACTGCCCCTGGGCAGGGTGCACACTCCTTCCTGTCCCTGGAGGGACGCGCTGGTGTAGGCCGGGTGCTCTGTGGGTGCTGCTCAGGATCCACCCCCAGAAGAGCACCTGCTTGGGGAGCAGGATTAGCAGGAGTCAGGGAGGGAGGTAGCAGCTCTGAGTCAAGTTGACCATGGGCCTTAAAAACGATAAAAATTCGTGACAAAATGACTCTACTTAATAAAAGGAATCTATAAATCCTTGGACTGAAGGGTGGGTGAGCTAATCTTTGAAGTCCCTTCCTTGCTTTAGGATTCTTTCACATGGATCAGGACTGTGCTGCGAGACTATTTATAGAAGTGCTCCACAGGGTGCGGCGCTTCCAACAAAAGGCAGATTGGGGTTTCCGCAGCGTTTCCTGGCTGCAGCCCAAGTGGCGACATGAGGATTCAGAACGTTTCTCTGTGTCAGTCCCTTGGCGAGATGGGCAGTATCGGTGCCACCCAGGTCCCTGGGCTCTGCTTTCGCAGACAAAATGAGTGCAGCCCCTCTGGGGCATAATCCTTCCTGCAAAGTGTGTGTGTGTGTGTGTTTCACTGATGACTTCTCCCTCCATCCTAGCTTCCTTCCCTCCCTCCCTAAATAAAGCAGGGTTTCTGGTGCATTTTCATGGCTGGATTGTGCTCCCTCCCCAATGCCAATTTCTATGCAGATTTTCAGATGAGAGATGGGCATCACTGACTGTCAAAGCTGAAAGGGAAGTTAGAAGCCATCCTGGCCTAATCTTTCATGTAACAGGTGAGGGGATGGAGGCCCAGAGAGGTGCAGCGCCCTCCTGGATGTCACAGGGCCAGCAGAACGGCCTGTCGCTCAGCTCATTCAGCGTGCTCCCCGCTGTTCACTGGTGGCCCACTCCACGAAGTCTCATTTAACTTACAGGTTTCTAGAAAGGCTTGCTTGTGTTTCTCTGCTTCTCGTTTTTCTGAGGCCCACAGTGAACTGAGAAATGGAAATGCCACCTCCGTTTTTCGGTCCCGGGCATGTCAGTCACATCCACACCACAGCCGTGACAAGGCCTTGGCGGCCTGCTAAAGGCAAAGTGCCCACAGCAAGTGACCCCAGGTGTGGTCGTCAGCCCGAGGGATGGTCTCCTGATTATCAGAGCTTGGCTAGACTGCAGGTGGAACAGGTACCCGGATGCCCCAGTTGGACACTACAGAGAGTGGAACTGAGGCCTTGAGGAGAAGGATAGGACGGGGGAGGGCAGCTGGGGAAATAGCCTGGGTTTGGCCGGCGCCGTGGGGACGATGGCAGCTAATGTTTGATTTGGAGAAGCTGAAGGGTCCTGGCTTCTAGGGCCTCCAGCTCTCTCGGGCTTAAAAATCAAATCACAGACTAGCCAGTGGAGAGAGAACATCTCATCAGAGGGGAGGTGGCCCACAGCCCTCCCTGTTCACCTTGGATTTCTAGATGTCATTTCATTTTTCCTCTCAAAGGCAGAGAAATAAAAGAAGGTAGAGAAGCCTTCTCAGGAGCTCACCTCATTAAGGAGGCCATTCCTGTTTCTATGGGACCAAAAAAAGGGAAAGAAAAAAAACAAGAACAAAACCCTCAAACCCCACCTCTTCCAGGGAATACCAGTTAGGAGAATGTCTGGCTGGTCATATAACGTCTTCTCTGACTCTCATTAAGCCTCCCACACAAAGGAGAGCCTGGCTAAGGATAGCAATCAGTTTGCAACTCAGAAAAAACTGTTCATGACACAGAGGACCAGAAATAAAGACCTATGTTCCCCATGGGACCTCGAATCTCAGTGACAGGGGCCCTGAATTCTCCTCCTCCCTTTCCTCCAGGCTGGACCCCAAAGCACTAAAACTCGCCACTCTCTCCCTCTCCCCCTCCCACAGAGACCCACAGGGACACAGCCATGAGCAGCTCCGGGCCAGCCACGGGCACCGAGCACCTTGGGAACTATCGTCGGAAGCAGTGGCTGGGCTTGTGGGGTCACGGGGCCTCCGGGTAGGGGGCAGGCACAGGCTCCGTTGGGGCTGGAAGTAAGGTCACTACTCTTGAGAGGTCAGAGGGCCACTCGGCGGAAGGGTCAGAAGGTGAGAACCTCTGGCCTGTGAGAGAGGCTTGGGCTGGCGATGGCAAGGTCAAGCTGCCTCTTGGGGGCGTTGTTCGCAAACTCTCTCGTGGAGGCTTCTTCCGTGGAGGCAGTGACCAGGGACACACGCCGGGAAGGGGAGGGCGTCTCCGAGGGAGGGCAAGGGGCGAAGGCGCGTGCCCGTCACCATAGCAACCTGACTCCACCACTGGCCTTTGATTTGGTCTTTTAGGGAAACATCTCCCTTCTCCTCCTGGGTGGGAAAAGGGGCCGGTTAAGGTGGCTGGGGAGGATGGAGAATGGAGTAGGGTCAGGCCCGAGGGCAGCAGGAACCTTAGGCTAATTCTCAACCGACTCCTGCTACTCCCTGCTTCCTTTCAACACTCAGGACACGTTGCAATGCGCAGTGCTGTGATCCCCCACCCCTTGCTTGGTTTATAAAATACAAACAAATGACAGAAAGGTCAGGTGGCCGGTGGCCGCCCACGGCTCAGAAGTGCAAGGACCGCCGCTTCCTCCCCGCCAGGGGCCGGTGGTTGTAGGGGCGCGTCTTCATTTCCACAAAGGGGATGGAGAACTCGTGGCCTTTCCAGTGGTACCAGTTGATGCCCTGGGAAGGGGAAAGACAAGCGTGTCAGATCCCCCGAGATGAGGCCGAAGCACAGCCTCTCTCCAGGCTTTTCCCTGCAAACGTGCTGTGGCCGGGCCGCTCCCCGTGGCCGGCTCTGTGTTTGGCCTTCAGGGTTTGTGTGCTAAGTCCCCACAGCACAGACGCATTTGGAGGGTCACCGAGTGCCTGCTCACTCCTGGTGGGAGGCCAGGTGGTTTCCGCCGACGGGGACCAACCCTGGGTTTGCCGGGACCACGGGGTTCCCTGGCTGCTGGCTTTCAGGGCTAATGCTGGGCACGTCCCAGCGGGTCACCCGTCACCCTGCTCAGGCCATGGGCATGTGGTCTCTAACGGGGATAGGCGGGCCGATTAACACCGGTATTTCTCATTCTCTGTTCCTGGGACACTTCGTAGGCTGCTTCCTCTCCGTCCACTGCTTCTACCCTGTCCTGCCCGCCGCAGCGTCTGCATTACCTTCCTCTTCACGATACTCCTTCCGAGACCCCGAGTAAGACCCGCCTGTGCAATGAACACACAGGCCTAGGGACCCCTCAGCTCCAGCTCATCCCGGTGGCAGACTCCACCCACCTGGCTGTGCCTGGACTCCCCGTACTTCCCGTTGAGGTTGGTCCGGTGGCAGTTCTTATACCACCACGCCCCCTTGTACGACAGGGCGCAGTTGGTAACGGCGATGTCGTTGTCTCTGTCCGCAGTGGAGAAAGGGCGTCCCTGGTGGTAGCTGAGGGAGTCCCCTGGGGAAAAGGAACAAGCGGGAGGCCGTTCAGTTCGTCCCTCCTCCGTCAGGATTTTCTGGACGTTTGACCTGCTCCCAACCAACCGGCTTCCACTTACGGGACCTTCCACTGAGCCCCCCTTTTCCTTCCACCTGTGGGTCAGTCTGGCTGAACTGAACGTCCTCCCCTCCCCTGGGGCGGCTGCTTCCATGCTGCTCGCTCCAGCTCATCTCCTCCTTCCCTACCCTGCTCAGAACCCTGTCCATGCGGCACCCCCAACCTCTGTTTCCTCCAGGCCCGCATGGGACAGACGTGCACAACTCCCTCTGTTTCCGGGGGGACAGTGATGAGCCTGTTAACACGGGACAATCTGGTCACCGTGCAGCCTCCTTATCTGTGAATGATTCAGTCTGATACTGTGTTCACTGGAGTGCACTTCAGTGGCTATGCTATGCCCGAAGCGTGGTGATTGGACCTTCCGTGGGGTATTGGGCAGGGCTCATGGCCACGGGGAAGGGTCTGAAACTTGAAGCGTAACAAGTTTCAAGTTTCTTTGGAGTAACGTACTTGGCTGGAGAGAGAAATAATTGGACAGAGGCCGGAATTGGAAGGGCAACACCTCAATGGTCCTCTCAGTGCCAAGAGGCATAAAAATGCTGCTAGAATCATACACTGGCCCTTAGCCCTAAAATCCGAGTAAATGCTAGGGCCCATCACTCCCTGCACCAAACAATAGAACATTTGGCAAACACAGGCTTTATGGAGTAGACCCCAGGGGACAGACAGGCTGCGCCTCAGGACCGGCCCAGCATTCGGTTCTGATGAAACCATTAAGGCCACGTGTATTCTTCTGAGTGTAAATGTCGTCAGTGTCTGCACAGAAGACGTGGCGATGTACGTGGTTCTTGCGGACGGATGAGTGGAATGTGGACACCATTAGTGCCGTGGCTTGCTCCCCGATGGCTGTGATGGCGACTTCTGTGAAAAAAAGTGTGGGGTGGGTGGTGGGGGGGTGGGGAGCATCTCAGAATATGGGGGATCTGGTTAGTTTCCTCAGTTCATGGTGGTTTCCTCGTGTCACTGAGGGGAGGTTTCTGCCCAGACAGCACAGGGTTCTGCTCTCTGGATAGGAGCCCATACTGAATGATTGAGACAAGAAGAATCGTCCTTGGCCCTCCCACCGAACTTCGGTGTTTAAACCTTAAAAGCACGTTCCCGGCCTGAACTGCCTGATCCTGGCTGCTGTGCAGTAGGCAGGGATGCCTATGATCATGCTCCAGACGAGGAAACTGATTTCAGGCCTCCGGGAGGTGAGGGGCAGCTGGGCCGGGACCAGTGATTCGCAGCCCATGCCCAGCTCACCGGCCGGCAGGGAATCCCAGGGCAGCTCAGGCCTGGAGCGAGGGGCCCTGGTCTGCTGGGGGCCCAGGTACCTGCAGTGCCATTGTAGCCGCCTATGCGGAGCTTGTACAGGCTCCTGCTGTCCTCGACCGAGAACTTGTCATAGTGAGCGAAGGCGGCCTCCTGGCCGTCGCGCATGTCCACGCGCAGCTCGTAGCGGCCCTGGGACGTGATCCTGTGTATGTTGTCCAGCCCTGCGGAGACGAGCAGAGGATGCAGGAGCTGGGAAACGGGAAATGGGACCGTGGCCTCTAAAATACGTCCCGGGAGGAGGTGGGGTATCGGGGACTCCGACCCTCAGGCAGATGGTCTCTTGTCAGACAGACCCTCCCGGACTCTGACTCGACCTCTGCGAAGGGCCAGCCAGGTCTGCGGAGGAGTCCCAGCACCGGTCAGCTCCAGGCCTGACATCTGGTCTGACCTGGTGTCTGAGGAGCCCAGAGCCTCAGCATCCCGGCCCCGCCCCTGCGCCTCTCACTCCAACTGGGTGTGGCTGACAGTGGCAGGAGCACCACAGGGGCCTAAGGCTCTGGCATGCGTGATAGGAGCCAAGAGGTAGAAACAGTGGTCACAGGAGTCGAGGGCGGACCCTGGGCCCAGGATATCCCAACATCCTCCCACCTCCCAGCAGCCAGCGAGGGGTCAGTCTACCATTCATTCCACACCCCTCCTCTCCCAGCCTCCACATAACTCATAGCTGCCTCCCTCTTGGATAATTGCCTGAACGGGAGTCACTGCACCCAGAAGCTGCACTCTCCACCCCCACGCCACAGGGCGACCTCCATCAGTGCCTGATGTGGGGGTGGCCCTCTCACCCCAACCCTGAGGAGTTTATGCTCAAAGCTTCCCTAAGGATCAGACTGAAGCTAGTCCCCAACCAAGACCACACGTTCGCACTTCCCCCTGCTTTATCCTGCTCACCCTGCTCCCCCCTCCTGAGAGCACCCCCAGATATACCCCTGGACTAAGAATCCCTGTCTCAGGCTCTGCTGCTAGGAAACCCAACTTAGGACATAAACCAGGGGTCACAGTGTCACCCCAACCTGAGTCTTGCAGACATACAACGCATCCCCGGGCCAGGCCTCTGTTCAGGAGCCCTCACTGGCTCCCTGTTACCCACATCCTTAAGTCCAGACGTCGCGTCCCCACTTTATATACTACACGGCCTTCATTCACTTCATTCAACCCACCAGGCCTCCTTTCTCCTTCCCCTGTCCGCGCCTTTCCTCTGGCTTCTTCCCTGTCCCATTTGCCGCATCAGAAGGATCCCTGTCTTCCCTCTCCTCTGGTTCCCTTCCCTCCTGCACACCCCTCGCTGCCTCCCCGTGAGGCTGAAACAGTGGTCACAGGCTGCTAGGAGATGGGAGGGTGTCAGGACATGTTCCCTCTCCCCCCCTTCACTGCCCCCGCCTCCTACCACCGTGTCTCTGAGGATCTGTGGCCTCTTTGCCAGGAGCTCACAGGTTAGTATGGCGTTTCCCAGTGTGGGACGACATCTCTGATGAGGACAAATATCTGGGGCCTTAGGACTACATAACCTTGAACATATGGGAAGAGAGGTATTTCCAAATCCTATCCTTAATAGATTAAGGAGCAGCCTTAAGCCTGATTCTAACCTTAACTCGCAATCTCGGTTTGGTGCTAGTACTTCTGTGGTTTAACACCCAACAATTCTAATCTCACTGTTACTACCAGCAGCAGCCACAGGCCGGGAGCACTGGTTTAACGGTCATTTAATAACACTAGAGGCCTGGTGCACGACATTTGTGCACTGGAGGGGGGGTGTTCCCTTCAGCCTGGCCTGTGCTCTCTCACAGTCCAGGACCCCTCAGGGGATGTCCACCTGCCGGCTTAAAGTCAGACATCCCCTGAGGGGTCCTTAGCGCTGCTGGGGAGGTGGGAGAGGCTCCCGCCACAGCTGCTGCGCTCTCCAGCCATGAGCCCAGCTTCTGTGGGAGCGCACTGACCACCAGGGGGCAGCTCCTGTGTTGAGCATCTGCCCCCTGGTGGTCAGTGCATGTCACAGCGACCAGTTGTTCCACCGTTCGGTAGATTTGCATATTAGGATTTTATTATATAGGATGAGTGTTGTTTTCCTGGCATGGATTTCTGAGGCTCCCTTTAGGACTGCACATAACCAGCTTCCCACTTGGGCGATACTTCCAAGTTTCTTTCCCCAAACAATAGATTTATGAACTAAACAGCAATATAGAGAAAACACAAGTGCCGACAGCTCAGGTGTTTCACAGACGGGACAGAGGTTGTGGGGGCGGGCATGGGTTCGGGGCACGGGTTTGGGCACAGAGCCCTGCCTGCGGTGGGGGCACTGGCCTGGGGAACTGCTGTCTCCCAAGCAGTTTGCAAACTCGTCGAGGGCTAGTGTTTCCTAGTCATTGACTTCTCTCTCAGCATTTTATGTGACTTTCATCTCATAGATTTATTACCTACATCAGCAAACACAGGTCTGGTTTCCTAACAGACACTCTGTAATCTTACCACTGACTGACAGCGACGCTTTACCTGCTATCCCCAGGCACTGTAATAGGCAGTGGGGTTCAGAGATAAAGATGATGTGGTCCAAGCCCCACAAGTTTATGTAGTATAGTCAAGGGGATAAGGAAATGGACGCTGATTTGAGACGGGAAATTGGCCACCAATAAGGGAGGGGCCCATTCTCTCACAGGCAAAGGGTGAGACCAGTGGGTAGGATGGGCTCTCTGGTCTTTGAATGGACGTGGATGGATGCCACGGTGTGCAGGGAGGGACAGCTCCTTGCAGAGGAAGCATCATCAGTGATTCCGAGCGTTCGCAGTTGGTGGGGGTGGGGCTGTTTGGGGAGGAGAGAGGTGCTCAGGGTGGGCGCAGGCTCCAAGGCAGAGGAGAGAAGGGGCCAGGGGTCAGGGGCTTGGCTTTCACCTGGCGGCGAGGCGGAGTCGTGGAGATGGCTTACACAGGGGGTTGGCCGCTGGGCAGGTTTTGGGTGTGAGGAAGCTCATCCTAGTGGCCCTGTGGATGCTGAGTGGTCCTGGAGGCAGGGAGGCCAGTGAGGGGGAAAGCGAGTGAGGCCCAGATGAGATAGTGACGGAGGTGTCGGAGGCCACCAGTTCGGAACACGCTTATCTCCTCTCCCCGCCTCCCTGGACCAGTGGCTGAACATCGCACTGAGAGGGAGAGGCAGGTCATCAGGGTGTCCCGCCGTCTGCCTGGGCCAGGGGTGTGCTTCCCGCCTCACACCTGCTCAGTTCTCAATCTACACCTCCGCTCCTGCCAGAACCCGGGGACACTGCCGGCCACCTCTCTGCCACTCTCACTTCCCTCCCTCGCTGGCCCAGGCAGGGAGTAACATTCCCCCAGGGAACCCAGCTTGCCTGGCGCCTGCCTCGTTCTCTCTTGCCTGCAGGCTGGCTGGCTGCTCACCGCCCCGCCCCATGGCCCGCATGCCCCCTCGCACACCAGGCTGATCCCCGCTTTGTAGTTGCTTCCTGTCAAGACCCATCAGCATAAGAGACTATTAATGAGGATGGGAAGAGACGGGGCAGAGAGGAAAACGCCACAATGAGATAAAAACAGATCAATAGTGCAGCCAAACAGAGCCAGAGGAACTGAAAGCAATTCATGAGCTGTCAACTTCTCAACAGACGCGGGGGTGCTGATAACCCCGATGGGCCCAGGAGGAGTGCTGGACCCAGAGCCAGAGCAGCTCCCAGGGAAAGCAGAGCGGGCGTTACCCAGCCAAAACTCGTCCTCCAGGTTCCCGAAGCCAGCGCGGTACTCCGCCCACTTCCGGAAAAAGTCGGTCTGGCCATTCTGCCGCCTCTGGAACACCTGGGAAGAGAGGGGGGAGGAAGCTGGCCAGAGGAAAGTTGCTGGAAGCGAGTTTTCCATCTGCGAGGACGAGTGGGACAAGGGGCACCGCGGGCAGGGCTGGTGTTTGCACGGCCGCCCGTTCCCTGGAAGACGCGCAGCGCCTTCTCCAAGGGCAGAGGCTCCGATGGAGAGGCCGGCTGTGATGTTGACACTAATCTGCACCCAGCAATGTAGAAAGGGCTCGGACACAGCGAGCCCCCAAACGGGAGTGGGTGGCTCTCAGGTCCGTCCTTCGCACTAGGCCGTGCAGCAGCGAGCATTTCTCTCCGGAAGAAGAGGCCCAACTCCACAGCAGCGGTGACTGTCGCCATCCCATCGCAGGCAAGGGATGGCCTATCGTTCACTTTGCGAGCTGTGTAAGGGCTCATTTCATCTAACCTCCAATCCATCGGCCTCTGCTTCAGCGCCCAACTATGCTTTACGAAGGAGGCACAGATATGTCAGAAGAGAAAAGGAAATGTCTCCCAAGTGTAGCTATTATGAGCACAGCCCCCATTTCACTCCATTTAAATACTCCTTCCCATGCGCACCCACCCAGCTAGCGCCGGCTGCTGCGGGCCAGGCTGCTGCAGGCTGGGCTGCGGGAATGCGGGAACCCTCCCATCTGCAGTGGGGCTGCATCATGGGCAGGGACGTTAGTGAAGCCACCCTTCCCTTCTCTCTGTCCTGAACTATCAGATGTGGAGGAGGGTGGTCACAGGAAATGGTGTCTCTTTTCCTAATCATAGTGCTCCCTGAAGGCTGGGACAGCTCTGGAGACGAACCGGGGAGTCCAAGGAAGGATGGGGACACGGTGGCCTTGGTAACCGGAGGTGGCTGTCCATGCCCTGCCCTCCTCTGCTCCCTCATACGAAGCTGTCCGACAGAAAGGTCCTAATGAGCTCCCCACAGAGGCTCACCTCTGCTACTCCTCTGGCAGCCGCAGACCCCAGAGGGCAGGACCCGGGCCTGTCTGAGCCGCTGGTCCTGCCCCAGCACCCCTGCCTGCACTGCCATTGCAGAAGCAACCCCTCCCTGCGCCAGGCCACTGCAGCCTCCATCTGCTGTTCCTCTCTCGGCTGGGCCAAGCCTAGGACGGGGCTGCTGAGAAAGGGCCCCGAGGACAGTGAAGAGCCTCCAAGTGGGACAGGAGGGGGGTAACTGAAGGGACGGGCAGAGGCTGTGAGGTGTGGGTCCGTAGGCGCTGCGCCCGGTGGACGAGGACCCCGGGCTGTCTGCACGCGCGGGGAGCAGCGTGCGTACTTACAATCCAGCCACCCCCGTCCGTGGTCATGTCACAGTACACTTGAAGCTTCTGGCCGGGCTCTCCGTGGAGGAAGATGGTGTAGACCCCACTCAGAGTGTCGCCATTCATCAGGTGCTGGGCACAGTCTTGAGGGTGAGGGAACACCCGGCCCCCTGCACAGGAAAAGAGGCGACCTCCAGAAAGCATCCTTTCTCCCACTCTGCGTGAATCCCTTGATCAAATCGGAGAAGGGTTCAGAGGGTCCGTGGGACCTCATCAAGAGCCGTGGGACCTCCACTCTGGCCTCGCCCAGTGTGGGAACCCTGCCTCACCCTGCATCCTGCCTAACTGATGGAGCAATCAGACAGCAGACCAGAGAGCTGAGCTCACGGTCTGGCTCCTCCACTTACCTGTTGTTTAGCTTAAGCAAATGGCCTGACTTCCCTGGGTATCAGTTTTCTCATCAGTGAAATGGGGATAATAAAAATACCCCCCCTCCCCAAATGTGAAGATGTGAGTGGTTACTCAGGTGACGGTTATAGGTGCACAGGCCACCATGCATCCCTGGAGGGCCTCCTGTCACAGGATGAGAGGCATCTAAGCCAGCAGTCGCCAACCTTTCGGACCTCAGGGACCACTAATAGCCCGTGGACCACCGGTTGGCGACCGCTGATAGACAAAGCCTTCCGCCACCCTCACAGCAGACACTCAGGAGCTCTCAGACAAGCTCAGTGTTAGCAAGAAGACGGGCATCTATTCCTCGTGCAGAATCATCTCCCCATTGGACTCGACCCAGTGGCTGTGCTCTACAGTTTAGTGTAAGCTTACAGAGACGGCAGGGGGAATACACGGCCTCTCATCTTTCAGAAAGAGCAGCCCAATTTGTAGAACAATATCTAATTAGCTGAAAGAGAAGCTTAAATCATGTGTCTTGAAGAGCTTAGTTAGCTTCAGGGCACATTTTAGTGCTTAGCAGGCAAGCTGAGGAGAGACCAGTGGAGGGCTCTCTGGACTGCAGGAGCTGAGAGAGCACGTGAAAGACCAAGCTCGAGAGTGGGGGGCAGTGATGTGGGCCCGGGAAGTGTAAGGTGCAGTAGAGGTGATCCTGCAGCCTTGAACTGTGTAGCAGTCTTGAAAGTGCTGGGTAAGGACCTCATGGGCCAGTCACCACAGTGCCCCCTGGTGGCAGTGCCTGTGCACTGCACTGTCTCTCCCCAGGCCACTTGGAAAGACAGCTGGAGGGTCAGAGCAAGTGACAGCCTCATGCCACACAAGGAAGGAGACATACAGCCTCGTTGAAGGCCCAGGTCATCTGAGACAGCTGTCATGGACCATCAGGGAAGCATCCTGCGTTGGGGAGAGGTTGTTGGGGTTCCATAGACTTTACAGGAGGCCCCTGTGGAGATGAGTTAACCCCCAGCACAGGACTGCCCTTCGCTCGGCCACACCCCGGGCGAGGGTGGCTCCCTGTGCAGGCAGTTTGGAACAAAGGCACCCACCTACTTCAGGGAACGACAGCGGGTTTCTACAGAACCTGTGCTTTGCCGAGTGAGTGTTCACATTTACTTAGTTCTTGCAAGAAACTTGAGAGGAAGGCAGATCATTGTGAATCAAAAAACTTATTTTACAGAGGAGTCTGGTGCCCAGCGGGTTGGGAACCCACTCTTCCTCTGGTACATTCTCCTCTTCTCTGAGAGGCCAAGCAGTGGAATTGCCAGCTGGACTGTGTCCCCAAGGGGCCCAGTGGTCGGCTTTCTCTGCCTGGATCCATATAGCTGCCTGGATAGACGTAGAGTCTCTCTGTCTCTCTCCGCCGATTTCCTTTTCTCCATTTCCTCCCCTCTCTCTCTCCCATAGGTGTGTCTTGAGTGGGCAGGTCCCAAGATTTAGATGGAGGGTGGGGATGGGGAAGAGAGTCTATTTGTCCTTGAGTATAAGCCTTGGTTCCAGTTGTTACCATTAGGAGCGCTTTGGGGTGACTGGACTTCCGCCTAGCTAATAATGAAGACCACACAGATTACTGTTCCGCTGCGTTCATTGTGTGTGTGCTGTGATTCGCACACTCTCAGGGAACTGTCGGGACAGATTTCATGCATCGGGACACTCCCGATGTCCTACCATCTACTCTCAGCAGAAACATTTACCCTCACACAGATCATCCGGTAGTTTTTCTCAAGGCAGACATTTCAGGACCCAGAGCAGCACCGGAGGCTTCCTTCCCTTTGGTGCAATCGCTGGGCCCGCTGACAGAGAGGCTTTGTCTGTCTTGAAGGCACTGGCTGTGTTGATTGCCAAGTTAAGAGGAACATAATGCCAAGTGATCGGGGCACTGAAATGGCTCATAGTTAAGTGTTTCTAGACGTAATTGTGAGATCGATAGGACGAGCACTTACCGGAAGAATTGCTCAGAAATTGGTTTGTGTTGGGCATCGGAAGGCTGGCTGCCGAGTGGAGTGAGGTGAGCTACGTGATGCACAGAGCAATCAGACAGCTCCAGCAGCTGGGAGTAAAGGAAGAGACCTTTCCGGTCCCTGCCCTGTCCCTTCCGTGTAAGGGGTTCCTGGATACAGTCTCTAAAGTGGTCTGAGTTAGTGGCTTTGGAGAGTGTCTGTCCACTGCCTGTCCTTACAGCCGTAGCATCAGGACCAAAGCAAGATGTCGGCAATTCTCTCTGAGAGCAGATCCAGCAGAGCATGGTGTGTGGCTCTACAGCAGCGCAGGGACCGCCTCTGGCCACCGGAACTTACTAGTAGGTGTCTTTTCCCCAGAAGTGTGTTTGTGGTTGTCAGGCTTGTGGGAAGAGCTAAGTTAGCTGGTCAGCCCACACAGGCCGTCAAATCTACCACCTTAGCCACCTTGAGAGCATCTTCTAACTCATTTACCTGTTTATTCTTTTATGCATTTGTTCAAAAAAACATATAGGAAGTGTCTGTTGGGTTCTAAATAGCGGGCTAAGAAAGAGATGGAAATATAAAGAGAAAAATATATAGTCCCATCTTTCAGGTTGCTCACACTCTGGTGGGAGGAACATACAAACATAATCCCAAATTCTATGTGCTCTGGAAAGAGATAAACGCAGGGAGCCATCAAAACTCGGGAGTGAGCATGCCATGAAGCCGGGGGTGGGGTGGGGGGGAGGACTGGTGGGGGTAAGGTGAGCGGTGGGGCCTGGAACGGTGTAGGGATTGGCAGGTGCTAATCAGAAAGGGCTTCTTAGTTTAGGAACTGATGGATATAGAAGTAAGCCACAAATTGGTGAGGAAGGGTATTTCCGGCCAATGAAAGTGCATAGCCTATTTTGGGAAACTGCAGGGTCAGCCAGGAGACAGAGCAAGGGCGGGGTTGGATGGGTGAGGGAGAGCCTTGGGGAGGTAAGTGGGGACTGGATTTTGCCACTTAAAGAGTTGAACCTTCTCCAGAAGGCAACAGGCTGAAGAGTCCAGCAACTGACTTCAAGCTCAAGTTTTTAGAAAGCTTGTTCTCATTGTGAATGAGATGGGGGTGAGAATGAATGAGATGGGGGTGAGACTGGAGGTAAGACTCGTTTAGGAGGTAGTAGCGGGAATCCAAAAGGAGAGGTTGCAATAGACTTTGAGGAGGTGATGGGAACAGAGAATCAACTGAGTCATAGCCAGCTTGGATGTCTTCCTTATACACAGAGTCGCTGAGGAAGGTCCTCAAGCTTTGCAGACCACCCGTTTTCTACCCATCAGTCTTCTAAGTCTCCCCTTTGAAGACCAGCTAAAGGCACCCTAACAGTAGAGAAATGTTCTGACATAATCTGCCTTACTATTCCTGGGACTCAGTTATATCAGGAGACCCACTGCCATGACAGATTAGTTGATCATAGACTGGCAGCTGCCAGCCTGATGTCTGTGTCTCTTGCTTCAGGGTATTGCCACCTCCCTGGTCTCTTCCTGCCTTTCTGGCCCTACTTGCATCCATTTTCATATTGAACCAGAGTGACTTTTCCGTAGTATAATGTGATCTCTGTCTCTCACGTGCTAACAACCTCCCAATGGCTTCTCCGACGTGATGGCTTCTTGCAATTAGAATACAACCCCAGGGCCTCACCACGACCCACAGGACCTGCAGGCTCCGGCCCTGCCTGGTCCTCCTTTCCCTTTACCACTGGCTTTCTTTTAGGCTTCGGAACATGCCAAACTCATTCCTCCCACTGGGCGTAGACATTGCTCTTCCCTCAGCCCGAATTCTCCTCCTTGTCTGATTCACTCTCACCTTTCATGTCCTGGCTCAAATGGCCTGACATCCTAGCTAAGGCCAGGGGCTGGGGCTGAGGGAAGGAAGTGGCAGGTGACCATCAGGAAAGCCTTTCTAGTACAGGAGCCATCCTGGAAATTAGCTCTTCACATCGGTCCCTAGTCCATTACTCTGTTTGTTTTTTATGGTCTCACCACTACAGTGGGGCCTTGACTTACGAGTTTAATTCATTCTGAGACCAAGCTCGTTAAGGAGCTCATTAAGTCAAATTACTCTATCAACTCAATGCAAAAAATTGGCCGAGAGACAGCTGGTATCTCAAAAAACTCGTTAGTTGGGACACTCATAAGTCAAGGCTCCACTGTACTTGAAATTACCCCACTTCCTTCTTTTGTCTGTTCCCCACTGCCTCATGCCCTTGAAGTGTTTAGTATAGTGTATAACCCACTATGAAGGTTCATTCAATATTTGTTAAATGTAAGATACCATGTGGACCCTATTTTCCTTCCTATGATTATGAAAAGGGAAATGGACATTAGCTTTTCTGAGAACATTTGGGACAGCATGGCTAAAAATGGGCCAGATCAAATTTTGTATATAGTGACATTCAAGGCCCTATGGCAGGTGGCATTCCCGCTTGACCACATTCACTGCTCTCTGTAGTATAGACAACTCTTAAGTAAATTCAGGGACATGGACCAATTCCTTGAAAATCATCACCTACTGAGAGTCACCCAAGATGAAACAGACCACCTCAGTGGTACTACTAACTGATAACTCTGCGGATTTGCATGGCCCACCATCTGCTGTCCCAGAACCCAGGGTTGGCCAATCTTCACTAATTTTCACAACTTCCCAAATGGAAGCTTGTGTTAGAATAGACTCTCCGAGTTTCCCTAAAAAGCCCCAGATATCAGCTCAGCCTGGATGTGGGATCGTGCCTCCTAAAAAGGCACGGAGCAAAGGCAATAAAGAAAACTTCTCATTCCCCATCTCTGGGAACCTCCGCGAATGACTGTCTCCGCTTAACCTTCAGGTTAAGGCAGCCTATTTCATAGTGTTCACTGCCTGGGAGACCAGCTTCAGCGAGCGCCTTGTTTGCCGCTTATAGGATTAAAAGAGACAATGAGAGCTCCTCTCAGGAGATCACGTCGCCCAGTCTCTGTTGCTCTGCGGGAGTCTTTGTTTTCTCATTTATATTCGTGTCTCCAAAAGACAAGTAGACCTTGGATGAAATTTCAGGCGACAGTAAATTATAAATAATAGATCCATATTTTTCTCTTCTGTTCTACTTCTATTAAATTCTCCTTGGAGTTTTGTGCAAACACCGGGGACAAGAGGACAGGAAGCTATTAATGTGATTGTTAGAATGAGGTAGGCTTATGTTCTAAGGCAGGCATGTGAACAGGGAAGACATCTTGGTCAAAGGAGGCTTTGCAGAAGCCAATCTTTTCTCTTTCTTTTATTTAAATTTTATATTTTTAACACCTCAACTCTTTTCCAACCCATTAAGGAGTCATCTGTTTGAAATGAGTCTCTTTTCTTGGCCCACCCAGGACAAGATGTGAATTTGTCAGTGGATGGAGGCCACTTAGGGACCTAAGTTTAAGCTCTTTCGTTCCATAAGACAAGGCATAAAAAGTGCTTAGAATGATCGGGTGAGACCAGCGTCCTAAGAATAGGGTGATGCTAGGTGGAAAGCTCAGGTACTGTCAATGAAGTCAAAATGGATGCTGGTCGCTAGACTGAAATTAGCCTCTGAATCCATCAGCCCTGGTTGCCACCATAGAGGAAGCTCTGGAGTTCCTCAGCAGGAGCAATTCATGGGCCTCAGACTGGCAGCGCTCCAGTCTTCCCAGTAAGCACAATGCCCTGCTCTTTGCTTCTCCTCCTCCTCTTCCTCCCTCCTCCTCATCCTCCCTTTTTCTCCCCCTTCGTTTGAAATAGGAGCCCACATATGGAGCCTATGGGGTACACCATGTGGCCTCTGGTGTGTGGGGGTGTAAGTGAGGGTTCTGATGGGGTGGTGTGGCAAGGCAGTGAGGACGCATTAATACTGACATTCAATTGACCGTGCAGGTTTACTGAAATTTATTCAGGGAACTTTGCATTTGTTTATGTTTCTGTCATCTGTGTCCTTTTTATGGGAAAGAAATTCTTAATTCAGTGAAAAGTTCCACTCCAGGGCCTTTGGGTGGTAGCTTGGAAAAGAGGAGCTTGGAGGACCCTTTAACCTGTCAATGAGCAGGGAAGGGCTTGAACAAGAGGAGGTAGCACCTTGGTTCTGAGACAGAACTGCCCTGAAGAGGCAGGAGGGAGAGTATAGTTGACTTCAGCCGCACAAAAGAGATGAGGTATCCTCTAGTTTCTAGTTGGGGAGGACACATTTTGGATTCATGTCTTGGTTGTGAAAACAAGGTTTATTTTTATTTTCTAATCAAAAGTTTTTCTGATTAATGTGCTCATTGTAGGCACATTGTAAGATTGAAAAGTATAAAAAAGAAGGAAAAAGAGGACTCATTCACAACTCACTATCCTAAAGAGCCACTGGTGACAGTTGGTGTGTTGGATCTAGTGTCCTGCTTTGTCGTTTAGAGCAAGTCTGGTGGGGGAGGCCCCTGGGAGGATGGAGGACTTTCCATCACTTCTCTGGGGTTAGGGATTGGGCTCTGGGGCCTGGGCAGGAATCCGTTGCCCTGGTGCTCTGAGATGGCAGGCAGACATGCATCTAGGGATAAGGGGCAGGTCCACACTTGCCCCACACAGGGGCACAGCCACACCCCAGAATGTGGGGCAGGGAGAGAATTCAAAGTCCAGACCGGGTGGTCCCATGTTACAGACAGTAGAGAGAGGCACCATGGGAAGTGACAGAAAGGATTGGTACAGCACAGACCCCAGAGCCAGAACAACTGGGGTCAAATCCCAGCTGTCCTACTGAAGAGCTGTGGGCTCTTGGGGGTGTTACCTCCCCTCTCTGTGGCCCCATTTCCTCATCTGCCGACAGGGGTAATAGAACACACCTCACAGGCTATCCTGAGGATGACATTAGATCACACATGCAATGCAGTTAGAACAGTGCCTGTCACAGCCCTCAGAGGTTCGATATTAGTTCCCCTTGCACACACTAGGACACTCCTATTCTTTAAGGACATTTTCAAGTATCATCTGCTGATGCTTGGATGGAGAAGGCAGGAGGACCAGCTGAATTTAGAAGGAGACCTTGGTTCAAGTTCAGAACCAGCTGCTTACTAGCAGGGAAGTCATCTGATGTCCATGCACCTGTGAAACGGGGCCGAGAAGGCCCTCCTCCCCGGTTGTTGTAAGGACTATATTGTGACCTTAAGAATGCAAAGTGCTTTGTGTGTGAAGAACCACAGGTTAATAGTGAGGGTTCACTACTCCTTCCTTTATGGGTGGATCTCTGATTACAGGCGGCAGGGGAAGGGGGAAGAACAAACTCTGTTGGAAAAACACTGATGGAAAATCTGAACAGGAACCCGATGTCTTTACTCGGTGCGTTTAGTTGGTCCAGGTGGACCAGGGAGATGCACTGTGGTCGCTCTGGTTGTGTTGGTCGTGAGAGGTTTCCTGGCAGGAATCAGGGGAAGGCAGGAGTGGAGGAGGCAACTGAGTTCCTTTGATGGCCTCCTCCTTGGCCCAGTCTCCTTGGCAGAGGCTCCTGCAGAGGGGCTGAGTCACACAGGGGAGGAGGAGGCAGGAAAGTGGCAGCCAATCACTCACCTGTGGTGAAGGCGGTGGAGGTGAGGCTGCTCCTCTCGGCATCCTGGGCCGCCTGCAGGAGCACTGTGTAGTCTGTGCTCTCAGACAGGCCCTCCAACCGGATCCACGTGTCCTCTGCATCCACGATCAGCTCCTGTGGAATGAGCCGGAGGAAGGGTGATGGGAGGGAGGAACTGGCTCGCAACGAGGGGTGTGGGGAAGGGAAGTCCAGATCCCATGGCCAGCTAGGTCAGTATTGCAGCGGCCATTGCATTGTCATCCTCTCCACCCCATAATAAGCAAAAAACAGAGTCAATAAGCAGAGAGGGCAGCTCCTGCCTCCCAGGGGCACGCTGGGGTAAATTTCGGCACCTGGATGGTTGAATCGGTGCTTTTCGGATTGTACTGGGCTTCCTCTTGGACTGAGGAAGCAGAACCCTAGGACTCCCTGCTCCACATGCAACAGACAAGCGCTGCTCAATCTGTTCCACATGTTCAAGCTTCCTGATAGGATTTTACTCTAAAAAAGCCCTCCACTGCTAACCAAGTATGACAGCCTGCTCTTTAGATGGATTGTTTCAACCGATGACATAAAGCAGAGATTTGTCATCTCTTTGCAGTAGGCTGTGCACATGTGGCCTTTCTAGTGCTGATCAGGAGGCATAAGAGGCTGCTGAGTTTGGCATCCAGCTCATGTGTGCTCGGCCCTGCTAGTGAAAGGCCCTTCCAGTTCCACGTACTGATAGCAGCTTGGAAGTTTCCAGCGCACTTTGCTTCATCATGTTGGAGGCACTGGCACAGCCGAGTGCAGCCGCAGAGGCAGACACCCCCATTGTCTAGGGAAGAAGCCGGCACTCAGAGAGGGTTAGTGTTTGCCTTTGTACAGAGCCAGGATTAGCGCCCAGATCTCTGACTTGCAGACTGGGGTTCCTTCCTCAGCAGCAGGCTGTGTGTCCATCAGGGAAAACCCAGTTTGCTCCTGTGGATTGCCTGATAGAAATGGTCCTCCCCCCCCTCAGTCGACGCTCACCTTGCGGCTTCCGTCAGTGGATTTGTAGGTCAGGACGTACTTCTCGACCTCAGCTCTGGGAGGCTGCCAGGAGATCAGGGCACTCTGTCTGGTGACCTCACTGGCAGTCAGGTTTGCAGGAGGGTCCAGTACTGCAAAGAGGAGAAAATGCCGGGAGCGCCTGCCCATTAGATTCCAGGCACATGTATCTGTTTGCTCACCTGTGTGGTCTCTGGGCTGCTCACATGCTGACCTCAGTTCTTGCTTGGACAGGAGCAGGAAGGGCCCCCCAGTCACAAGGTGATCCTTTAGGGTCATAAGCATTCTGACAGCTATTCCCCACTCCCCTCACCTGGTCCTCTGGTCCTGGGGGAACATCTTCCAATCTGACGCTCTGTCTGAATTCATGGCCTTGCTGCACCTGCATGTCTGTGGTTTACTCTTGAACTTATAACACTCTCACATCTACAGCTTTGTCTACTGTTCCCCTGGCCACGACTATATTCCGCAACTCTCTCCCCAACATCAAGCCCTTTAATGTCCCGCAGACTCTCTGGCCAGATGCATTTCCAGGACTGGCCCCTCTTGGCCTGGTTCTACTGCTGTCACCAGACCCAAGTCAAGGCAGAAAGTAGACGTGTGTCTGCTGACTCCACTGACTTTCATTGGCGTTTGGGCTGCACTCAACTAAAGTAAGGACAGCTCATTGCTGCTCTAGGAGCTGTAGACTAATCCAGCCCACCACACGGAGACACAGCATCCTCAGCACCCACAGGAGTCTACGGGCGCCGGCCATGTGGCTGACCATGCACTCACGTGTGGAGAAGTTGGTGCTGATGGTGCCACTGGTGAGAGGCCCGCTGGTGGCATGCATGCTGATAGTGTAGTGGGTGCGAGGGAGCAGGTCAGTGAGCAGGAACTCCTCACTGTCTCCATCAACCAGGATGGTCTCTCCAGCAACTGAAACCAGATGGACATGGACAGGGATTGAATAAAGAAAGACTTTCCAAGTCCAAAGGCATTTCGCCAGAATTCCATATTGGTTAGTTTTTTGGGGAAAAAACATCATTCAGAGGTTATTTAGTTTGACATTTTATTCCATATAAGCATCCCCTCTTATGTTGTTTTACATCTTAATTGAGAAAAATATTCCTTATTTGGAAGCTGAACTGTCTTTTTTTGTAACTGATACTCAGGACTCGAGCTACAAAGAATAAGCCGAACTCTTCGTCTACATGACCACTTCTTCCCCGCTCTCATTACCTGAATGAGAATTCTAAAACTGCCACAGTGCTGGCTTCCTTTCTCTAGACAGGTAACAGTTTACCAGTGTCCCTGCTAAAAAGCAAGACTCGGGAGAGAACTGAGAACAACGATTGAGCTGTACTAACCAATGAAACAAATAGGATCAATGTTAGCTTTTATTTGTGCCAAGTCTGTGAATCCATTAGGTTTGAGACAGTCTCGTAAGGTTGTCACAAGCAAAGAGTATTACTAATCAAAGACCTTATTCATAAGTGCCTCCAACCCAACTGTGGGTAGTGGATTTTGTGCATTGATTTCTATCGCCTTTTGCCTTGTTGCTTGAGTTTTGGACCCCTGTTTCAGTCATTAAAATATATTTGAGTTTGGATTCTACCCATCACAGTTTTGTTTTATATGCAAATTTGGTAAGCATGCCTTCTCTGTATCCATTCAAGCTGTTGATAAAACTGTTCATTAGACCAGGGCCAGGCCCCCTCCTGTGCCTTTAGAATACTCCTGAGTCATTCAGCATCGAACCAAGTTCAGTAGGCACTTCTTCACACTAGGTAAGTGGGACCTGAGGTGGCAAGTTTCCCGTGGTCTAAAGACATGGGAACAAGTCAAAATCTAAACGAACTCTTGGGAAGAGCATACAAATGCAACACCTGCCATCGGTCAGTGCCCCAGCCACACAAACTGGCAGCTCAAACTCTCTGTGGTCTCTCCTATCTCTGCAAATGCACAGGCTGCTCTTGTTCTTGAGTTCCCTCTTTCCTCCTATTCTCTTTCTTTATCTAAGATCTGCCTCCTTTCTCCCCCTCAACACTGGGATCCCAGTCAGTGGCCATGGATGTGGCCCAAGGTGTTTTGTGCTTGCCTATGTTGTGACACTGCTCACCTGTCTGCACCATCACTAGGTGTGAGTTCTGTGAATCTGTGTGTTTTATCTCTGAATCCTTATAGCCTAGTAGGGGGATGGCACATGGAATAGCATCAAAAGGATTTGTTGAATGAAAGAATGCTAGCTATTACGATGGAGTTGTGTACTTTAGTACCTGTGAGTCAGTGCACCTGACTCTCTTAGGGGAATAATGGCAGCTCTGACAAAGGGATGGTGGTGAAGGATGGGTTTACTGGGCAGACAAGTGGGGAGAGAATTTCCTGGTGGAGGAAGCAGTGTGTACAAATGCGTGGTGGCTTGAGAAGGCATGGTGAGAGGTAAGAAATGCAGGATCGTGAAGGGCAAGGAGGCATGGGAGGACCGAAATGGACTGTGAGTGTGTGCAGAGGGGTTAGGATGTAGCCACAGGAAAGGTGTTCATTCTCTGAGGAGGGGCATTCAATCAGCTACAGTTCTCTGCAACTCCGTATATGACCCATTGTGTATTGTCCATCTAAGTGATAAGTGGGTTTTTCTAATGCCTTGCTGAAGGTGCTAGAAGATTTTCCAATAAAAAAACAAGGACGTAAAGTAGTTTTGGAAAAACTTATTCCTAGGGAACCTGTGCTGGTATGGAAGTTATCATTAATTCTTTTTTCCTTTTGTATAATAATCTATTTTGGTTTCTACTTTCCCAAGTTTTGATAATCAGTGTATTAGTATTTCTTTGTAGCTTACAGACTTGGCTTTATAATAATTTTCTTAAAATTTATTTCTTTTTAATTGCATTTATTGGAGTGACATTGGTTAATAAAATAATATAGGTTTCAAGTGTACAACTCTGTAACATTGTATATTGCATTGTGCATTCACCACCCAAAGTCAAGTCTTCTGTGACCATTTCTCTCTCCTTTACCCTCTTTTTCCTCTCCCCACACCCCTTTCTATCTGGCAGTCATCATACTGTTGTCAGTGTCTTTTTTTAAAATTTCTCTTAATTTTGAAAATTAAGACATCTGCCTGACTTCTGTCTTCTGATATCTTTGTCCTCTGGATTCCTGAAGATAACCCACCACAATTCTGTGATCACATATGTACGTAAGTAATACGGGCAGGGAAATAATTTCTGTAGGCCTAGAGACCTGGACTACTCAACACTATTTTGGTTTGGGCTTCACTATTCAAATAGCATAAGGTGAACAAGCATGGTGAAGAAGACACTGAAACTCCCATTTGGGGCTGCATGTGGATAGAGAAGACCAAAGCAACAGGAGAGTTTATTAGTTCTTGGTCCTTTGTCCCTGTTATGTATTATCTGCTCTGAGCATGGTCCTATAACTAGTGTTTTTCTTGCTCTTTAAATATCTAGAAAAGTCTGCTTGCTTGCTCATAGCATTTTGGGGTAAGTCTTAGCTAAATTCTTAGTTTATCTTCCTAATGCGATTTCTCCAGTTTTGTATTTGCCCCTGGTTATGTGCCCTTCTTGCGCCTTTCAGATCCCGCTCTCTCAATTCCCATAGTTGATAGAGTTTGGGGACATCTTGAGGGCAGGAAATCTCTAATTTGTCCCTCCGATGGACAATATGCCTTTTTTTTTTTAACTTTCATACTACATTCTGCCCCAATCCCCGCCATGCCCACCTGTCTGAGGTGCAGACCTGCAGACACCCACCTGAGAAGCGTGTGAGGACAATGACGTAGCTCTCCACTTCGCCCACAGGCGCCTTCCACTGCAGCAGGGCTCCCGTGGGAGTGATGTTGGTAGCAATCAGATCCACAGGGTTGTCCATGGCTGCAACAGAATAGAACAGCAGGGAAAGTAGGAGCAGCTACAGGCTGGTCCTATGAATGGTCCCATGTAGTTCCACCCACAGGGTCTCCCATACTGTCACCCACAATGCACCTCTGCTGCTGTGCCTTACAAAACAGTGAAGTGAGTGGAGACCATGCTCCTTTCTCCGCTCCTGGTTCGTTACATCAGCCCCTTCTTCTTCTCCCCAGATCTTCCTCTGAATTAACTGACTTATGTGCAGAGTGCTTGTCAGGTTCTGTGGGGGGTCCCAAGGTATGGCCGTGTGTGTCTTAGGCGTTTCAAGCTAGATGGCAAAACTGAGAACGTATAGACGTTGTTCTAACTCTTTAGTGAAGAGGAGACTATGCTTCCAGGCTATTTGCACTTTCATAGATGTAAGGGCTTGGCTTGTGATGTGATCTCTGTTGAATGTGGTGGGAGCTCCAAGGAGGCAGAGTAGCTCCAGCTCCTAAAACTTAGTCGAGTCTCAATAAACACTTGTGCAATGACTGAATGGGAGTGAGGTTACCTCTGAAGTCCTATCCCACTATGTATTCTTGCTTTTCTACTCACAAAGGCTCACTCTGTACTCGGTCCCGCTATCCTTTTTGTGAATAAGACAAGGAGATTCTTCCAAGAATGCCTGTTGGGGACCGACAGCAGGTCTGCTGTTATAGGACCACATTCCTATTCTAATTTGTGCATACTCTACGTCTCCCTTCCCCAAACTTGGGATTATTTTAGAAATGGATGCTATTACAATAGTTTAGGTATCAGCTCAAACTTAATGTCATGTAATTTACTTTTTTAAATTATTTTATTGCTTAAAGTATTACATATATCTCCTTTTATTTTCCCCGCCTTTGACAAGTAATTTACTTTTGAGGGCCACGATGTACTGCTCATCTGGTCCTGTTTTCTAATCAAAGGTTTTTAATGCTTGCCTATGTCCCTCATTTCAAAGCAACAGCAAGATTTTTTTTTTTTTTTATAATTTTAACATCTGAATTGTATCCCTAATCTGGGCCTTCAGTGACTTCTTCAAATGGAACTTTATGTGAATAAAAGAAAAGTCTTATGACACTGATCAGTTTGATCTCTCTGAGCTGAAGCCTGAGACCCTGAAGGAATACTCATTTCCAAAACTTGTAAAATCATAGACCTTGTGTTAAAACAACAAATGACAACAAAGTAAGACATTTCTGTGAGCAATCTGGGTATTGGAAGTTTGCAAAATAGTGCTGCCTGAACTTGAAGGAGGGTGGTTTGGGGTAAGAAATGCTGAGGAATGAGTTTTTTGACTTAAGTTTCTGCTCTCTTTTACATTGGGGGTTGGAGACTCTTAAAATCTATTTAGTTGTCCTAGTGAGAAGGAGCCTACTTTATCATGAATTTTAAGACTTTCAGGAAGGTGTGAAGGGGGCTTCTATTGACCCACTGGGTATCACTTCAGGTCAATATTTCTTGATATTTTATTGGTCACAGATAATTTAGTGGAAGGGGTAAGACTGAACCCAAAACATGGCTGGGTTTTCTACAGTCACAGGTCTGGAAGGAGACCAGGGGGATTAGGGTATTCTGGGATGTCTTTAGAAGAATGATTTTGAGTTTCTGAAGGGATGTTTCTTTGGCCATGGCCTTAGAGGTGTTGTTTCTGTACTTGTTCAAGTATCTATAGAAGCAGTGAGGAACTCCAAGTTACATTCCTTCGCTCAGAAAATACTGTTCTCTGAGGGAAATCCAGGTGTTCCCCTAAGGAGGCTTTCCCATGGACTGGGGGGACGAAAGCTTAACTGGGGGGTGGGGGGGTCAGGTTATCAGGGCTTAGGGACAGAAAGCTTTGGCTGTCCCCACTGGTGACTTCTACAGCAAGTCTGTCGTATCTTCAAGGTGGGCTGGCTAAGGGGCAGAGGAGGTCACCACCTTCTTCCTCCATCCCTGGAGCAGCTCCTTGGTGGTTGTGGCCATATTTGATGAGGGGTTCCATGACCCCAAGGGTTGTTACTGGAATAACAAACCCCTTCCTTCTCTGAGGTGCAATTTTCTTGAGCTGTTTAAAAAATTAGATGACATGATTCAGATGTCTGTTCTGAAATTCACTTCCACTGTGGCTCTTTGAAAGGCCACTTTTCAAATAGGAAGTTCCTGATCTAGACCTGCATGACCCCTAGGGGGGCAGGAGGGAGAGAGGACTCTCAGGGAAGAGAGAAGTTGCAAATTGCTTTGCGTGACGCAGAAGTCAGAGGGGCGCCCAGGAATGGAACCTCTGGATCAGCCAGAACACCTTCACGCTTTGCCTCTTCTGTTTGCTGCAGGTTCTCAGTCAGGTTCTGACTTGGCCCACGCCAGGGAGACAGGCCTACCTGTGTGCATGAGAGTGCAGACCCGCTCACTCTCCTCCCTGCCCCGCACGCTGTTAAGGCTGATTTCGTATTCGGTAGCTGGGTACAACTTGGTGATGGTGAATTCTGTCACAGTGTTGGGCACCACTGAGCTGTCCAGCCGCCCCACTAAGGAAGAGCAGAGTCACAATAAACTCTCAGCAGAATCACTCATCAACACAGTTCACGGTACAGTCTACATAGGAGCTCCCAGCAGCACTTGGTCAGGAAGCACTGATGGTAAAAGGCTCAGCACTCAGTGGGAGAGAAGGTTCATGGACTGGGAATGTTGGAGTTTAGAGACCCTGCATGCTGGCTCCAACCGCCCCCCCTCACTCCCCCATTTTATAGGTTCCCCGGAGCAGAGGAAAAAGAACTATTTATTAGGTGGTTTTCTAGCACGCTGGTCTTTATAAAGGCAGTACAGAGGGACTGGCCAAAAAGGATGGGTCCTGCAGACCTGGAACACGACCCCATCCCCTCCCAGGAAATGAGTGTGTCCTCCGCCAATGCCACATGCACCAGTTAGAACTGGCAGGATACAAGCGAGGTCTGGGCCAACTTCCTCTGACTCATAGCTTGGCTAGAAATAGGGGCGCTGTCACTGTGGTTCCCTCCAAGCTCCCATCTGGTTCTGCTGGGTCTTCACACGTCCCCCAGGGTTCTAGTTTTAGACTTCACTCTCTCGGGAGTGCACATGACCCCGGCTCCTGGCAGATTCTTTCAGGGCTCTCTGTGCCTCACTGCACTGCCCACTGCCCACTGCCCAGGTAACAGGGAGCAGTTGCTGTGCTGGTGATGGGCCTGCTTTCTAGATGAATGCAGTCCCACCTTTTAGGAAAGGAGCTGGTGAGTGCAGGGCCTTGGGCTGCTGCTCACCCACCCACTCTCATTCTGATGCCACAGAGAGGAGGGCAATGCAAGCCGGGCAACAGCCTCTGGGACACGCTACTTCTCCCAGAACCGAATCCCATTCGTCTCCGAGAAATGGAATGGCTTTATTACCTTGGGTTGGCCGGTATGATACTCGGTAGTAATCAAAAGATGCGACAGGAGGGCTCCAGGAGACCACAACTGAGTCCTTGGTCACATTGCTAATTGTGATGTCTTTGGGGGGATCAATTCCTATAAGGAAGCCGGTGGTTGTGGGAAAAAGACAGAAAGCACAGTGTGAAAAACGAAGTCCTCTCCCTGCTTTTATGTGGACCAAGAGCTAATGGTGTCCCAGACCATACTGAGTGGTAGGGCACCCTTAACACCATGGTCAGGCTGAAGTCTCACCTGCAGCCTCATGGGCGTGGCCCAAGCACATTTGTGGAGGGTGTTTTAATGACAAAGCCAAGCTGGCGAGGTCTGTGCCTGTGCAGCAACTATTACCTACCTGAAGGCCAACTGGGAAGCTTCCTGTGTTTGCATGCTTTGTTTTAAACTAGAAGTGACATGGCTATTTTCTCTGGGGCAAACCCAGCTCTGTCAGTCTCTATCCCTTATTTTTTTAGCGGCCAATTTTGATTCAATTTGGAAAAAAATGCCTATTGACTGGAGAGGGATTTCAGAGAAAATCCACTTTGCTAAACTCTATTTCATTTTTACTGTGCACGTTAATGTTTTAACTGCTGGATGGAAACCAGGTGTGTTGAATCCACTTGTCCAGTTGTGAGTGCTTGTCAGCATGTAGCAAACGACCCAACACACATGTCCTCACCCATGTTCACACACAAATATTTGGGACTGTATTTGGGAATGATGAGAATGATCCAATCCATCTCAGAGTGCCCGTGTTTTCCTAACAACATGCAAATCAACCCCGTTCAAATCAACCAGGGCCCTACATGGTTGAATGCTAGTCCCATCTGATTCTGGGGAAGCATCATTTGCATCCATGAGCAGTTAAGAGATGGCTCTCCAGAATAGAAACAGGTATCTCCTTACTGCAGAAGGTTTTCTTCTTGCAGACTAGCTTTCTCTAGGGCTTTGTCGTGAGCTGCTAGAGGGAGGACTTCTGGACCGATACTTTTAAGCCCTGGCCTCCGCAAGACATTGGGCCCATCCTACCTTCAAACTGGAGTTTCCCATCTTTGCATTGTATGTAACTACGGAAGAAGTGGCTTTTCCACAACAGCTCACAGACCCTCTTTAGCCGAATGAGGCAGTCTCCTGCTCCTTGGGTGTTTCACTTGGTAAATTTTGTTAACTTGTCAAAGGCTACTGTCCCCACCTTCTGTCAAGTCCTACAGCCTCACCTGTGGTGATGGAGCCCACGATGGGCTCAGAGGTCACTGTGCCATGGACGGCCACCAGGTTCACGATGTACTCGGTGGCCGGCTGCAGGCCCATCAGGACAGCGTGCCTCTTGGTGGCATCCAGGGAGACCTCCGTCATCTCTTCCTCTTCATCCCGGGGGCTGTAGTTCAGGATGAGTCTGTCTGCTGGAGGGGATGGGTCACTCCAGGTGATGTTCACGCTGGAGGAGGTCACGTGAGAAAAGTGCAAATGCGAGATGGGGCGGAAGCCTGCAAAGCAGAGAGATGGGCGGTTCTGAAACACAGGTGAGGTAGGGGGGCCACCTGGCTGGAGGAGCTATCTGACCGAAGGGATGTGCTTTCCTTGCTAATAAGGACCACGCCTTTTCCGCTGAGCCAGAGGTTCCACCTCCACCTGCTCCAGTCCTGTCCACGCTCCTTTCTCCAAGCCCATACCGAAAAATGAAGGGTAGACCGGCATTACCTCTGTGAGTTATTCATAATAAGATACAGGATTTAGAACCTCGATCCTGGCAGGGATTTAACATGATCCCATGGGGTCTTCTGATCACCCACTGATTTAGTGCAGGTGAGGAAAGAGACAGATCAGCCCCTCTGTCCGGGCTACGAAATCAGACACAAATTTTTAGGCACCCAGGTGGCTTTGCTCACCTCTCCCCTTGACTTCAAACCATTCCCTCTTGACAATTTATTAGTGTCTCCTCTACCTGTTCTTTCTCTACCCACATTCTGCCTGGGTGACCTGCTCACACTAAGGCCCGTGGATCCCTGAGTGCAGCTGGGCTGCTGCTGCCCTGGTACCTGTGAAGGCATCCACGGTGGACTCCAAGCTCTGCTGCCGACCCCTCTCAGCGGTGATGGAAATGATGTACTCTGCCCCAGGCTCTAGATCGGTCAGTGTGTACCAGGTCCTGTCCTTGGGCACAGTGACTTCTGAGGCGATCCCAGAGGATGGGGTAAAGGTAATTCGGTAGTGGTCAATAGGGCCACTGGCCTTGGTCCAGATGAGGGAGATGGAGGTCTCAGAGGAGGCTGTCACCATAAGGTCTCTCGGACTGTCAAGTTCTGAGGATAAACACAAGGAGCCGATTTCACACAGGAGGGCCAGTATTTATTGGAATCATCCCCGACCCCGCTGTGGATTTCTATACTATCAGCAGTCCTGCCGACCATGAGGACAGCTTGTCCTTGCTGACACTTAGCTGCGTTGGTGTTAGGCACCTTCCCTTTGAAAGATGGCTGGGGGCTTGGCAAACAGATGGAAGAAGGGCATTATCAGCTGGCTGCTGATTTTCAAGCTCTGCAAATTCATTGTCTCCCAGCCTTTCTTAACCCCTTCCCCGGCAGAAACGTGTATACATGTTTTCACAAAATGTTCTTTTTTCAGTCGTCAATGAGTATACTCGTCTAAAAACTTTACCTTCAAAAACCAGCTACATACGTACCATTCTAAATAATTTCATCTAGAAACTTTCTGAGGAAATACTATTCTTAACCACAAAAATGGGAAGAAAAAATAATTACAAACTGTTTTCATAACCAGCATCAAAAATACTATATAGAACCAAAATAAAACAATTAGTCTGGAAAAGAAACGTTTTTAACAAAAAAATTATTGGGGAAGGGGTTAATAAGCTGATCAGGGCAAGACAGAAGCCACAGGTAGGGCTGTGCCATTCCTAGCAACAGTGGCCACCTCTGTTCCTGAGGCCATTTTGACTGACATGGCCATGGGTGTGTGCCTGCCTAACTAGATCGGAGGCCTCCTGGTGACCCACGTGGTTCTCTAGAAGAGACTGTCTATGCTCAGCCCACAGTTTGTACCTAAGGTACTAGAGAGACTCTGAAGTTTACCCGGGACTGTGGTAAAAGTGCTTGATGGAGAGTAGTAAGGATCTTGTGTGGATTTTTCCATTGTCCTTAGATTTCATGGGTTATTTCAAAGTTTAGACCTTCACCCTTGGTCTTTTGGAGGGCTTCTGTAGTACATTAACGGATACCACATTCTGTCTGCTGTGGTGCCGACTTATTTGGAATTTTCCACCTCTGCTCTGGACGGCTCCTTAGACCACAGAGGGCCATGCACAGACCTGTACTCCATCCTGGATGTCAGGGAGAGGCACAGGGAATCAACGAGTTTCAGGAGGTGGTCGTTTTCAGGCTGACAGCTGTTGCCCAGGGACCTACTCATGGGGGAGCACTGCCTCTCACCAATCTTTGCCAGGACAAACCTCGTGGCCCCTTGGGATTACAGGGGCCTGGTCTCATTCTGTACCAATTCCTACTCACCTGTCCTGGCGTTCATGGTGGCTGGTATGCTTTGCTGTGAGTCCATGACAGCAGATATCCCAAATCCGTACTCAGTGCCGGGTATCAGATCTATTGGTAGATGCAGAAACAAATGTTATTCTGTGTGTCTGTCAGGGTGGGAAGGAAGGATGAAAAAGAGGGAAGCCAGTCATTTTAGACTCCTGTTCAGATCTTGTGCTTAGTCCTTCCTGAACCCGCCCTAATTTTACCTCTTAGGACACCCCAATTTCACCACTGGGGAGATCTGAGCCAAGTCGACAGGATGGACTGTCAGTGCAGAGCCTCCTTCTTGCTGCTGGTCTCCTTGGCAGGCAGGTTCCCCTTGCCACTGGCCGTCAGAGGTGCGCTCTCCTGGGGAAGGTCTCTCCGTGGTACTTAGAGTCTCAGGTTGACGACAACTGGTGAACGGCTTTCTTGCTTAAACTGTGGATTGGGGGAGTGTGCACTCTGGAGGGACTGTGTGGACATAGTCCTTTAAAGTTTTTCTTGGATGTTGTGCATGAAGTTTGTATAGTGACTGAGGCCACAGGGGGCCTTCTGGTCTGTTCTAGAGAGTGGCAGTGGGGGGTCTTTCTCTCTGAGCACAGGCTTTCAATGCAGGGGCACACAGGAGCCTTGCTGCTGTGGATTCCCTCCCAAGATTGATAATTTGGGCCCCAGAATATGAATCCAATTCTAGGATGATCTCTGGGGACCTGGGAGGATAGAGAAAATTACAAAAACTGCCCAACTAAAGGGTATAAACCTCTCTGGGGAAATCCTTTGGGGGTTCAATACAAAGGATCATGGGGAGCCTCCCAGGACATCTGGAATCATCTGGGGTCTCTATTCTCTCCCACACTGATTTCCAGACTAACTGCTTTGACTGGCATATTAATTTCCTACGGCTACTCTAACAGATTCCCACAGCCGAATGGCCAGAACAATATAAGTCTATTGTTTTACAGTCCACAATGTCTGCACTCTAAAATGCTTCCATCCATCTGCATCCCTTCCGCAAGCTCTGGGGAGAGTCCATGGCTTTGCCTTTTCCAGCTGCTAGAGGTTGCCTGCAAATGCTCTCCTGTCATGTAAGATGACATAGTCACAGGGGCCAGGAATTAGAATGTAGACATCTTTGGGGCCATCAAATTCACCCTCATTGATTAGGCCTGGGATTGCAGAAAAAATGCAACAAGATCACATCATCACCCGTGCGCCCCCCTGGCCAGTCTCAGTCCCTTGGGCCCCCAGAGCCCTGGCTGATGACCGTGCTCTTCTGCATTTATGGAACATTTATTCTCTGCAGAACACCTGCATGTGTTTGATCCTCACCACAACCTTGCAACATGGTGGGATGAAGAGCCTTTCCCATCTGCATTCGTTTCCAGGGGCTTCCATGACAAATGGACATACACTGGGCGGCTTAAAACAACAGAAATGTACTCTCTCAGTGTTCTGGAGGCTAGAGGACCAAAATCAAGGTGTTCGCAGGGTCACGCTCCTTCCGAAAGCTCTGCGTGGAGACTCCTCCCAGCTTTGGTGACGGCCAGCGGTCCTTGACTCCCTCAGGATCCCTGACATATCAGGAATGATTTTGAGAGGAAGGGCATGCAGCGATGTTTCCTTAACAAATGGCCTGGCTTATGGAAGCGGAGTGCTATGGGGCAGTCAGAGGGTCTGCACCCACCCCCTGTGTGGCTTCAGTGCAGGCTGAGCAATAAATCCCCCCATGCTCGATGGGGCAGAGCCCACCCAGCCTTGCTGACCAGGCTCGCCTGCAGGGATGCGTGGCCTCATCTATTCCCTTTCTCAGCCAGCCCCACCCATTTCCTAATCTTTTGTTATTTCTCGGAAATGTCAACACTAGTAGTGTGAACTCGGAAGTCAGACAGAGTTTGAGGTCTGCCAAACTTCCTTCAATATTCAGGTCTGCCACTCTCCACCTGGGCATTTTGATTCCTTAATTTTGTGTCTTTGAGCGCCAGTTTCTGTAGAAGCGGACGAATAACAGTATCTATCTCAGAGGGTCACTGTGGGGATGAAGTGAACTGATGTGGATGAAGTGCAGTGCGTGGCTCATCGTGACAGTAGCCAACATTCTTATTACCTTGCTTGGAGAACTATTCCCGGATTCTGGGTCCTTCCTTCTTTCTGTGTGTTGCCCAGGCAGGTACAGGCTGGTCCCCAGCACACCTGTTGTTGGTTTGCTGATGAAAGCAGAGATTCGGGGAGCCCAGGCAGCAGGGAGGCCCTGGCTAGATTGATGGGGTGATTGCAATGCCCCAGACCTCTTCGAAGCACACATTTATCTCTGTCATGCGTCCCAGGCACAACCTTGGTTGGAGAAATTAGATTACCTTTGGGACATAAACTACTTTTCCCAGGCAACTGATTGAGACCTTCAATTGCCTATAATGAAGTAGAAATTCTCCGAAGCAGATGAAGGGTGACAGGTCGAGGAAGTAAGACAGAAATTACATGTTGCCAAGCGGATCTAACATGCAATGTTTTCATCCGAGTTTCTTATTTATGAAGCTTAAATGAAATGTTCAATAATTTACAACGGAATCATCTTCTTCCAGAAAAAACATGGAGCAGAATTTCAAGTGCTCTCTTCTCAGGCCTCCCGCCTGGGGAACGGGGAAGCGGGGCTCGCCTGGTAGGTTCCCGCCTGCTGCTTTCCTTTCATTTTTGGCAGCTTTCTTCCGGTGTGGAAGTGAGCGCTGCTCTTCGCCAGCAGGTAAAGTGCAGTTCTGCCCGAGAAGGAAATGTATATCTGAGGCGTATCCAGTGCATTTATACATCTGCACTCCGGGGGCTCCGAGGGGTTGCTCACGTCTTTGAGAGCTCGTGGCTCTCTATCAATGCTCCCTTTATCTCCCCATCCAACTCCTGAAAGTGGTAACGTAGCAATGGCTCTGTTCCCTTTCTTAACAATAGCTCAGAAAATTCGCCCGGTGGGAAACCGCCGGTCTCCATCTCTTACAGAGCCTCCTTTGTTCAGCTTGGAGGGTGACGCTGTTCTCAGCTCTCCTCTGAACCTGTTCTGCTCTGAACTCCTGCGGCACACAGTGCACTCACTCACCAGATGTTACCGAGAGGCTCCCGTGTGCCAGGCACAAGGCTGTGAACGGGGCACCAGGGTGAGCTGAATGGACATCACCCTTGCCCTTCATGAGATTTTAAAAATCTGCCCAAACCGGTTTGGCTCAGTGGATAGAGCGTTGGCCTGCGGACTCAAGGGTCCCGGGTTCAATTCCAGTCAAGGGCATGTACCTTGGTCGCAGGCATATCCCCAGTAGGGAGTGTGCAGGAGGTAGCTGATCGATGTTTCTCTTTCATTGATGTTTCTAACTCTCTATCCCTCTCCCCTCCTCTATGTAAAAAATCAATAAAAAATATTAAAAAAAAATCTGGTGAAGAAGGAAACCAATGACTTCTTGAGCACACACACTATGCCAAGCCCTGGGCTGCAAGCAATAGGTGATCCAGAAAAATAATGAAGGAGAAAGGGAAGGAAGGGAGGAGGGATAAACACTGAAGGGGAATTTTTGAGTGTCTAATGGTCAAGAACACTATTATGGACTAGTTTGTTAGAGAGTTGCACATGGCATCTCCTTGATTTCCCCACAGCTCTGCTGGGAGAGCACTGCTGATGAGCAAAGCACTCAAAGGGAGTGGGGCCTCCTGCCTGGAGCCCGATTATTTTTTGACCAGGGAACAGGGAGGATGGGAACGGGGAGAATTGAAGTTCCTAGGGAGGGATTGCTGCAGGTGACCTGGAGTGCCCTTCCCACCCTGCCCAGGGTCTTGTTTTTATAAATGCAAATGACTGTGTTTAGAACCAGAATAAAAGGGGGCAGAGCTTCTCCCTCATTTTGCCTCCCTTTAGCCAAGGTCCTTCCTTCTGTTCCCCCAGAAGGCAGCTCGAGAGCCAACAGTTCTTGTAACTTGCATCTCAGCAAGTACAGACAAGTTTCCTTAAGTCACACAAAGCCATTTGCCTTTATAAATCTCCCCAGCTGCGAACTCCCTGCGATAATTATGAGTAATATATATTTGTAGGTTAATTTCATCAGCCCAACTCTAATAAAAACATCGACTATGCAAGCCCTCTCCTTGTAAGTCTGCAGCACTGACATGCTGACTATCCCTTCCAGTCTACTACTTTAGTAGGAGCAGCACGGAGCGGGAGGCTTTTGATGAGGACTTGGAACTGCCTTGGAGTCACAGCTGTGCCCCTTGCTGGCTTTGTGAACTTGGGCAAGTTTCCAAGTGCCTTGAGCTTCAGTTTCCACATCCATAAAATGGGGATGCCAACAACCCTCAGGGGTGTTCTGAAGGTGAAATAAGCTGTACCTACATGAAGGTGACTGGAATAACATTGATGGTCAATGAAGGTAGAGTCTTTTTCCCCCTGATTGAGGGAAATAATGACTGGGATGTGACTGTGCTCTTTTCTATCTCTCTCATGATTCTATGGTGTATCTATCCTAACAACTAGCCATCATCCTTGGAAACTGCTAATTGCCAAACCAGCCTGAGGCTTAGGCGGGGATGGGCTGTGCTTAGAATCGGCTCCCTGCTGCATCATTTCAGCTTTTTGGTTTAGCTTAGTTTTTATGAATGTCTCCAGCTCTCGGTAAAAGCCCTTCTGCCAGCCGGTCTGTTCCCACTACATCTAATTCAACCCCATTAACCTGCTTGGTCAGCATATCCTTGCGTCTCCTGGCTGTGTTTTCAGAAGTACGTCTGCCTGGAAAGTGCATTTATTATATTTGCTTTAACCGGCCTCGTTGGGCAAGGCGGCCTGGGATTTCAGCTCAGGAGGAAACAGCTTTGCTTCCACTGCCCTTGTTTACTGTGCGACCATTTGCTGTGCCTCCCGTCTGCTAAGATGGCCCATGCTCCAGTAGGAAGCCACGGCACACTGAGCAGCGGCTGTGTGTGCGGGCGCGTTGGCAGCCCTCATCCCAGGCTGCTGTGCACGTCACATATTAAACGCGCCCTGCGTTCCTGTCATCTACCTGTCAGTGGAGTCCACCAGGCGGGTCTTCCTGGGTGGGTGTGTCTGAAGCCCAGGAGGAGCACTGGCTGGGACCCCGTCTCCATGGGGACAGAGAATGCTCCCAGCCAGGCATCATGGTGACCTTGGGCGTCGTCCTAGTCCACACTACCATCATCCCTGCCATTGACTCCAGCACGGCCTCGTGACCAGTGTCTACCTCTGTCCTTGCTCCCCTCGCCCGTTCTCCATGCTGCAGCTGCACAGATCGAGGCCTTACATCACCTTATTTAAAAATCCCTGTGACTCCCATTCTAGACAGCGTGTATAAGGCCCGCCAGCCTCTTCCTTATCACTATTTCTCAGTCACAGTTAACACTTAAAGTTCCATCCATCCATCCACCCACCGCTTATTTAGAACTCAGTAAGTGCTAGATGCTGGACATTGGGGAGCCAATGACGAGCAGAAGCAAACACAGTCCACCTTCCACAGAGCTTTAGGTGGAGAGTGGACACTGACAACTGCATCACCCAGCACGGTACGCAGGACAAACAGGGTCCTGGGAGGGGAGTGGTGACCAGCAAGATGAGGCTGCAGACAGGGGACCTGACCCGCCGGGAATGGACAAGGTTCTTGAGGGACTGAAAGGAGCACACCTGTGGGCCTGGAGCCCAGGGTGGGAGGGGAGACTGGAGAAGATGGCAGGAAAACCAGGCAGGCCGTGTGGGCTTGGCTAAGGTTTGGTGTTTATCCAAGAGCAATGGATGCCCCTGACATGTAAGACAGGACGTGACAGGGTCCGAGACCAGGTGATGGCGTGCAATGGCGAGTAGTGGACATACGCGATATGCTAGGCATGAGAGAGACTAAACCAATGGCATCTGGTGGTGGTGTAGGTGGGCGGGAAGAGAGCTGTGAGAGTGTGGACACGATCTCACTTACCAGTGAGGGTGGCTCTGCTGGTTGGCCCAAAGCTCTTGGGGACCAGCAGCTCATGGTACTGCTCGCCTGCCAGGGTGCTGTACACAACCTTGTACTTCCGAACCTCTGCCTCACTGTTGTCCCACTCGAGGTCCAGGCTGGTGGCTGTGCGGGAGCCAACCCGCAGGTTTTTGGGGGCGTCAATCTCTAAAAAAGAGTCAGACATCACCCAGATCACACGGGATAATGTGCATTTGTCATGCATCTTGAACATAAACAAGCTTTGCAGTGACAGCCCATACCTCCTGACCCTGCCTCTTGTGTGAGTGACCCCAGGCCGCCCTGCAGCCAGGTTGGCCACCACACATTCCAGGGAGTTGGGAGAGTTTTGCTTAGGAGTTAGTTATCAGCACACTTTACTCTTCCCCCATTTCCACTCGGAATTTCCAGCGGCGTTCTAGACATTTAAACTGAACCAGTTTGTATCATAAGCTTGAAACCAAGCAAGGAAAAACCCCGACAGGACAAAACCAGAGACACCTGTCACAAGGTAACAAGTGCTGGCAGGAGAAACTGTGTGCAGGTGAGGGAGCTGGACTAGACTAGCGCAGTTTCACGTTTGACCACCAAACAGAAAGAAGGCTTGTTGATGGCAAGATTCTGAAGCTGTCCTCCCTGCTTACCTGCACAGATGCTGCTGGAAGGTTTGCAGTTAGAAAATGCTATATACAGGGGTGGGCAAAAATAGCTTGACAGTTATTCATATGGAAAAATATGCAAGAATTAATAATAATGCAAGAATAAACTCTGTTCTGCGTGATGTGGTAGACAGTGGACAGAACGTGGGCTTTGGAGTCAGGCCTCAGTTTGAGCCCCAGCTCTGCCAATTACGTGTCACCTCACTGGGCCTTGATGGTCACATCTGTAAAATGGGCTAAGAGTACTGACATTTTAGATTGTTGTATAGATTAGATGAGGCAGATGATGTGCGTGGCCTGGTGTAAAAACCGGTGCCCAAGCCCTGGGCCGACTTCCCATTGCCTCCGAAGCGCTTTCTGAGTTCCAACAACAGGGAACCCCTATGCTTGCTCTGTGGGGTCCAATAATTCCAACGCAGTAAAGAGACCATTGCCATTGTGGTCTCTCCCACAATCCTGGGGGCTGGTTCTCTCTCCCAGGACTGGTCATCTCAGGCTTATTTTGGCAAAAAGAACACTGACACGCTGCAGGGTAACAAGGTAACAGGCGCCGGCAGGATAAACGGCCACTGAAAACGTTGAGAACAGGTCTTGTTGTCGAGACGTGGACTGGACTGTGCAGTGGGCCAGCCGCTAGTTCTGAGGAAGCCTGGAGTAGCCTGCTTCAATTGGCAAGTGCCAGGCCAGCGTCCCCCAGCTGCTCCTGGGGAAGACGAGTGCCTGACTCCATCTGCCAGCAGCTTCAGGGTGACGAGTGTTCCGTTTAGTGATGGGAACTCGGTGCGACTTTGGGCAGATTTAGGTCTTTGCAGCTACTTTTTCTGAGAAACGTTTCCTTGCTCAGTGTGGCTTTAGCATCGGAAACTGCGCCTTTTCGATGGGCTGTGTGTTACTCCCACAGCACTTGGGTGGAGAGAGGAGCTTGGACTGAGAGGCATGTGGGAGGACCTCCCTGCACCCCACAGCGCTCAGTCCCACGCCCGAGGAGCGGCTGGGATGAGGGACTGGACCGGGCTGAATGGAGCTGCAGTAACAATAGCTGAGGCTTATGCTGAGGCTTTGGGCTCAGGCTGAGTCCTGTACCTGCCTTTCAAAAATCCCAGACCTTGGAAACTGTTTTTGTTTGCTTTGCCTTAAGGCCTGCGCCCTGTGATCAGGGACCAGACATTTCCAATGTCCATGATGTCAGAAGAGGTCAAGCCTGGTGGAGTGAAATGGTCTTGAAGCCTGACCTCTGGCTGCTGGGCTGCTCCCAGCCACTTGTCAGCAAGCCAGGGGCAAGGCAAAGGCAGATGTCCGGTGGGGGCCCCAGGGGTAACCTGGGGCTTGGGGCTCTGGTAGCAGCCACATCTAATCCCTAAAACGTAAAGTAAACCCAGTGATTCCCTGCCGAAAACTTGCCTCTCGCTTCCTATTAGGAACTCTAAGGGTGGCCGGCAGGCTCTGTGCGATCAGCCCCCTGCCTCGCAGACAACACGTTGTGACACTTCCCCTTGTTCACTGTGCTCCTGCTGCGCTGCCTCTGTTCCTGCCCCTGAGACACATCACCCGATTCCTGCCTCAGGGCCTTTGCACCAGCTGCTACTTTTGCCTGGAATGCTCTTCCTGGATCCTCACTTGGCTTAGGTAACGTAGGTCTTGATTAAATCTTTATCTCCTCAGACAGATGTTTCTGAACTTCTCTCTACGTCATCTGTTTCGATTCTTAGCATAATGCTCATGGCTGAAATGGCCTGTGTGTTTCTTCTCTTCTTCCTTGTCCAGTGTCCCCACTGGAATGTAACTCATGAGAACCTGGGCCTTGTCTGGCTCACTTATTCTGTAGCCTCGGTGCGTGGGACAGTGCCTGGCACCCAGTAGGTGTTCAGTGAGTGCATGTGAGGTGCCCGGATGAATACTGGCAGTTCTCTGGCTTGTCTGTTCCCTTAAAGCTGTTATAAAAGCCTTGTTAAATATCCCAGCTGCGGGGCTCTGAAGGATGCCTGGGAGGAGGTGGTTCAGGGACAGGAACAGCTTCGCCTAAAAGCAGCTGGTCCTGGAGGTGAGGTGGAGGGAGGGTGGCAGATGCTCTTACTGCTGAGCAGGCTGTGGCTCCCATGTGGTGGCACGGCCTTTGCGTTAGTTTCCTGGGGCTGAGACGACAGGAATGTATTGTCCCATGGACTAGAGGTCTGAGATGGGTGTTGGCAGGGTTGTTTCCTTCTGAGGGCTGCAAAGGAGAGTCTGTCCCGTGCCTCTCTCTGCTGGTTTGCCTGCAACCTATGGCTTGTTCCCTGCCTTCATCATTCACGTGGTGTTCTCCGCGTATGCGTGTCCATCTGGGTCCAAATTCCCTCCTTCCCCCAGTTCATGACAAATTCTCCCACAGTCATATTGGCAAAAGGCCCATTCTAATGACCTCTTATTTGATCAACCAAATTAGGTCTCATACACAGGTACTGAGCATCAGGACTTCCACATCTTTGTAGAGGACACAATTCAACTCATAACAGCGTTCAACAGGGGTTTGTGCGTTCAGGTAAAGCAGTAGCTGCCGGTTGGCCAAACGCCGTGATGGCTGCATTCAGTGCTTTGGGGATGTGCTCAGAGGGAGGGGTCCCAGGCAGAAAGGGTCTCAGGAACTTCCTGAAACTAGAACCAGAGCCACCGTGGGGCAGGGAGGTGCAGAGACAGGCCTCTGGTGTTCTCGGGCTGGCGCTCTCTTGCCACTGGCCTCAGCGAGCTTCCATCTGAGCTCTTTGCTTTTTCTGAGGAGCCCTAACATCCCACTCACCACGCAGGAAGCAAATCTCTGTTTTAATTGTCTGTGCAATTAGTGCTCGCCTGGTGTCGAAGCCATCACCTGGAAAAGCACTTTGGCTAATGTGAATTTAAGCGGAGTTCTGAAATGACTGAGGGCCCTACCGCGTGGGGCCAGGCACACTCATCATTCCGCTGGCACCTGCCAACCCCCAGCCCTGAGGGCTTATGGGCAAAGCTGCTCACTCTCCCTATCCCCACACTCCCCACGCCCCTGTACCCCGGAGCAGAGAGGGGCAGGTTGGAGGTGTGGGCTGAGGCCGCATTGCGAAGGCAGCCTCCTAACATCTGCCAATCTGCCAGGCAACCCGCAACAGAGACTCATGCAGCAATGAGCCGAGACTCAGGGCCGCTTCCCGGAAGCAGAATGTAATCGTCTTGATTGGAATTTTTCTGGGCCACCAGCCAATCCTGCCTCCATCTTGTCAACCTAAACATCAAGCACTTGCTTTTCATCTGCTGCTCAAGGGCTCTCATCCCCTTTCCTGCCTTTTTGAACTCCTTATCCGAGCAAAGCACAAATAAACCACGTCTCAAACAAAACCTGTTTTAAATTTTAAAAGGAACGCAGGACTGTGGCCCATGGGAGGCCCCAGCACCTGAGCAGTCGGTGCTCTGTGTATGGGGTGTGGGGTGGGGCAGGAAGGGCTGACCTTGAATTCACCAGAAGGGTCACTATGGAGGTTGCTCTGCACGCGAGGCCCTGAGTGATTTTGGGTTGCTGCGGAGTGTTCAGTAACAAATCTGATTGGCACCTGGGTGGGGTGGAGTCCAGCCATGGGCTCCAAGAGAGTCGGGGAGCTCCCCTAGAGGCCGGGCCTTTCCCGGGTGGGCTGTCGGTGAAGCTCTTTAAGAGTCCCGACAGTTTTGGGGGTGGAGGGGCTGGCATCATCACAAGACAGGGACACTGACCTGCTTCACTCCGCCCGCTGTCTGTGGGAGGGAGCCAGTCTGCCCCTAGCCTTTGAGGTCACACTTACAAATGAATGGCAGACACAGGATCTCAGGTGAGGGTCCTTCCAAATCCAGGGGGTGCCATCATGCCATGCAGTCATGATGGACTTACAGAAGTATTACACCAATCTCTGCAAGCAGCAATAAAAGGGCCCCTTCCCCAAACTGCCATTTGGGCTCGTCATATGGATGTGTAACCGTCTTCAAGACAATTTATATTGTTCAAACGAAAAAGGTGAAGCCATGGGACGAGGCTTAGAGCAGGTCCCAGGTCTGGCTGGTAATGGGCGGGACGAGAACATGGCTTCCACCACCAGAGGAGGGTACACGCGTGGCCCTCCTCTGTGACGAGCTGTCACCAGGGGCCCCGAAATCCCATGCTTCCTTCTTGCAATGACCATGGTGACCTGCGTGCCCCAGCACGCATCCTCTCACCCACGAATACCATCCTTGCCATGACGGTACCACTGCTGGCTCATCCCCTGTCACCCCTCTGCCCCGCCGCAGCCTTACCTGTCGTGAACTGGGTGGTGGAGGCCTCGCTCTCATTGGTCCCACGGACGGCACTGACGCTCACCTGGTAGCGGGAGCCGGGCCGCAGGGCCTGCACTGAGTACTGGCTCAGGGGAGGCTGCAGCCGGAAGGTGGTCTTCCCGCCTTCCCCACCCACCAGGCCGTACTTCAGGAGGATGAAATCGACTTTGGCTCGAGGGGGAGTCCACTCCACAAAGGCCACGGTGTCGGAGACATCTCGCACCAGGATCTGCGTGGGCCCGTCAATGACTGAAGGAGAAGGGTCAAACAGAAGGACGTTTGAGAAATGTCAGGGAAGGGATGGGTGTTATGATCCCATTTCACAGATGGGGAGAAGGAGGCACAGTAAGGAGACATCTCTTTTCGGAGGATGCAGTTTGGAAGCAGGGTAACTGACACCGGAATTCAGTTTCCTGCATCTCCTGTCACCAGGCTGAGTTTTTCCCATCTTGGCTGGCTTGAGAGGGCCAGGGCTGCTTCTGTCTGGACAGAGAATTGAGCTTCTGGCATGAGCCCCAGCGCCCAGCTCTGAGGAAAGATCTATGAAATTACCAGCCTCATCTAAACACCTGAGACTTCCAACACAGTTGCCAAATGGGGCATCAGGAGTATCCAAAAGATGTCCCTGCTCAGCCATGCGAGCAACACAGTCAACACAGCTGCTAAGACGCTACCGACAGCCAACAGACATTTGCATTGTTGACATGGAACGTGCCTTCTAGGGAAACGTGCTCTTCTGACAAAAGAGGACCTTGGTTTTGGACCCATCTCTTGTGGGCTATTTTCCCCACCTGCTCTCGCACATTCCTGAGCCAGAAGGCCACTGCGGTCACACGCAGCCGCTCATGAGCCCTGGACGGTGGCACTGAGCAGCTGAGGGACCTTATGGTGGGGTGGTGTTACCCTCGAAAACCTGGCTGGTTTCCTAGGGGTCCCACCATTCATCCTGTGCACACTGAATTAGATGATGGGTGTGGGGGAAGGTGAGAGAATACAGAAGGAAAACAGAGAGAAAGGTCTGGTGAGGAGAATGGAAAATGGTCTTCACTCCTCATGGTATGTCTGCAAGGCCACTAGGCCTACTTTGAATTACTCAGTGACTGGAGCTGATTACTGTTAATACTGTTCAAGGGTTTGGAACTAGAATTAGAGACTCTGCTTAGCTGAGTGTGACCATGAGAGCGACTGGCATCTAAAGTGGAGGCCAGCCTTGCGGACTGAGCCCTCCCCTGTGGTGGCCGATACTCTCCCTGGGCAGAGAGGATGGAGCTGAGTTGCAGGACACCGGACACCCCGCTGGTGTTGCAGAGAATCCCCATGGGAACTGGGGACAGAGTTTTAGGAGCAGAAGTACAGAGAGAAGCACAAATGAGTGACTCAGAGGAGCGTCTAGATAGAGACAGGAACTCGATTCCCAATTCTCCATTTTCTGATTCAAGTCTTTCATGAGGCCCCCATGCATTTCTGTCCTTGGGGGTTCCATGAGACACTGTCCTTCTGGTAAGTTCTCTTCCCTGCCTCAGCTCGTTAAGAAAGCTTACCTCCTCATTACCAGAGAGCCTGAGACTGGTTTGTCACCTGCCCACGCTGGACCGCCTCCTGCTGTCTCCAAGATGGAGTGTCTCCCTGGGTCCAGTCTCAGTCCGACCCAAGCCTCTCAGTCTTGCCGAGTTGGACCTTTCCCTGGTCGCCCCACCCGCTTTCTGGGTCTAGCCAGTTTTGTTCTCTATTAAGCAGCTTAGGATTTGGGGCCTAGTAACAAAAAGCCCAAATGAAAATCGGCAGACCTTTGTGGTGCCACCTGGTTTGGAGTTAAAATGCAGTTTTGTTTTTCATATCTGGGGTAACAATATGATTGAACGGAACAGGTCCAGATGTTTTAGGCTTGCTGTACTTAGGGGTTTTAGGTAAGCTGAGCCATTTTTAAATGGTCTCCTACCTGCTATATAAGCTTAATGCCTGAAACATAGTAGTCACTCAGGAAATGGGCGCTGGATGAATGGGAGGAATGGATGGGCGATCCCCTGTATCTAGGAGAAGGAAGGGGAAGTGTTCCAATGAACTGGAACTTCTTGGGGAAGAAAGAAAGATGTCACAGAAATGCAAATGATCAGGTAAGGCTTTTGTCCTTCAACTCTTTCCTTCCCCCAAACCCTAGGCTTTAACGCTCTGTCCCTGTGAGAGTGTGACTGTGTAGCTGAGTGCTCCAGCTGCAGGAGGTCTTGTAATTTGCATTCCCAAAATGACCTGCCTGCAAGAAGCCAGTCTGAGAGCCTGATGAGGCCTTGGAGCCTCGCAGGAGGGGGTTAGTGTAGGTCAGACCTTAGCAGAAGGAAATAATTAAACAATCATTTTCTAAAAATAGCAGGCAGGGTTTGGAGCAACCGTACTTTCTGCGCCACTCTGCTCTTGGATTCTGCCCTTTCGTGAGCTATCCCATCCCAGCCAGGAGGGGTCAGCTTGCTTTCAACTTGGGCCCCAAATTCTAAACAAATATAGGTCCTACTCAGAAAGTAAACTGGAATAATTATTCTTCTTTCCATTTCTTCACGACCCTGAACACAACACCAAAATATTAACTAGGATGTTTTCCTTTTGGAAAAACAATTCTCCCTAGCTTTATCACACATTTTCAGGTCTGGAACTTTGCATTTTCCTCTTAAGAAACTTCCAAACCAAAAAATCCTGCAAATGTAAAAATGTGGATTAAGGAGAAGACTAAGTTGGTGTTGGACTACCTTCTGTAAGTGCTGTCAATACAGGGTTTCCCCAAAAATGTATACACACTGTAACAGCTGATAGCTCAATGTTGAAAATAAAATGCATTTTAATAAATCCTGCCTTTATAATTATTCAAAGTGTGAGTGTACATTTGGGGGGAACACCCTATATTTTGGAAGAAAAACATTCTGCAACTGTAATGTCCTGGGCCCTCTGATGAACCATTGCCTTCTCATCGTCTTTTGCTTCCGACTAACGCTTTCTTATTATCCAATCACAGGAAGGAACATTCCACATCAGAAAGGAGAATCTACACACGCGACGAAAAGGTCAACCTCAGGCTCCAGATAACCTTGGGGAGCAAAGATGTGGAGCCCGCCCGGCATCTGGAGAGATTCCTGCAGAGCACTTGCAGGCTTCATGGCTGTGCAGTTTCTTCTAAAACACACTTGGTCTAGAACTCTGGTTTAAAAGCCTCTTTTTGGGAGGAGGAATTAAAGCACAAACTCTTAAATGACTGTACAAAATGTACAAGAGATGACAGTGAAGCTGTCGTGGTTGGCGGGTGTGGCGCGCCTGGAGGGAGTGGTCAGAGGCCTGGATGTCCCCTCGTCCTGGCCTCGGGATGCTGCCATGGAACCCCAGTGCTCTGCTGGAACATAATCTAACTCCACAACAGTTTTAAACCAGTGTTTTCTCTATCGAGCATAAGGCTCAGCACCTGATACTGCTCAGTGTGGATCCAATGAGCAAAGCATGAATCACTAACACAATGTGTCTCATTACATAGCCTTGTGGCTCCCTATCCTGGCCAACTCGGCCTTTGCCCTGGACTCCTGACTGGCTTTCTTCAGTGTCAATTTCTGTTTATGAAAAATAAAGCTGTACCAATATTCGCCTATCTCATTTACTCACAGGGGAAGTTGCTTAACCTTCCAGTCTCAATTCCTCCCATCCCTAAAATCAGAACAAACATGATACCAGATGCTATTTATAACTTTTGAAAAATTCTTGGTGAGGGCACACACGTATGCATTATAATTGCTAATTTACAGCCTTTGTTAGCCAAGGAAATGATAAGGCAAAACACGATGCAGTGAGTGAATCAAACCTAGAAATAAAGATCTTGCATGAGAGGAGCTGTGGGGAGGAAATAATAAACAAGTTCACCTTGAACAGTGACCCAACCTATACTCCTGGTCTTTAAGGACGCTTGCCTACACTCTCATGTCTAAGTGTGTTCTCTGAGCACATGTGTATATACCAGGTATTGAGCACTCACTCTGACCAACACAGTGCTGATTACTTTCCATGCATTATCTGATTTAATCCTCATGTCAAGTCAATGACAGAGTTCTTATTTGTCATTGTAAAGTGAATTAAGAAGGGTTGGATGACTTTCTCTAAATCTCATGTAGGTTCCAAAGCTCAAGATACTAGGAGCTGACAAATGAGACCTCTTGATGAGTAAGACTGGGAGAAACACTGGACATCTTAACACAGAATTTCCCCACAGAACACCCTCCCAAATTCCTATGCTTGCAAGAAGCAGTAAGGAAGAGGTTCTGCTTAGCATCTGGCAGAAGATCTCCATCTGCAGGTGCCAATGCTGTTCTCAGCTCTGGGAGATGTCCTCGCCCCCTTTGTCTCTACGTCTCCGACAAGTCTGAAGTTCCTCCTTGTGAGTGACCCAGGGGTAGCCTCGGGAGACAGGCAGGAGGCACTCACCGGTGGCCACGCTGGCCGAGATGGGGAGGCTCCGAGCTTGCTCCTTCAGGGCCACCACGTTGACAAGGTACTCCTCCCCAGGCTTTAGTCCAGTCTGGTTGAAGGATGTGACATCGCTGGGGAGCTGGGCAATGACCCCTCCTTCATTGTTCTGGGTCGGGGAAGGGAGATGCAGAGAAAACAAAAGTCACTGGGAGAGAAAAGTGTTCCACTGTTTGTGAATTGTGATTTAAAAATGGGGACTCCTCCTCTCCCCTCCATGAGGACAGCCGAGTGTCTGGGGCCAGGGATGAGTCTCACCAGGCTCAGGGAGAAGGCCACCCCTATAGGAGGCTTTGGCAAACGGAGAAAACCAATTTTCAAGAACATTTCTTTGGCCTTTCCTGAGTCTACTGAATTTGCCAATAAAAATTAGTCATGAGGTGATGTAGCTTAGCTTTTGCCAAAGATGAGAAGGTTGATGGTTACAGTTTGCATTCATCTTGATGAGCATGTTCTTGGCTATATATAAGAGTTGCGTATGAGTGTAAACAGCTCTGTGTATACACACACACACACACACACACACACACTTTCCAAACTAAGATGTTTGCAGATTTTTTTTAATGAGGCAGAGCTGTATTTTGCTGTGTCTGGAGTTTCTCATGGTGCTACTCAGGGTGCAAATTTGTCAATGTCTTGTTTCCTCTTCACCCAGATGTGTTAGGAGTCAGTGACACAACCAACTATAAGTACAGAGAAGAGAAAAAGGAAGTATGGAACGAAGAATAATACAAAGGAGAGAGGAAGGAGAAAAATGGTAGAAGGGAAAATGAGAAAGATCAACATGATGACATTGGGTCCCAGATTGAGTATCTACCTACCTACCTATCTGTCTATTATACATTTTCTATGTGTGTCCCTGGAAATTGAGGGGACAAGAGGACTGTTCTGTGGCACTGCTCCTCTCCTCTATTCTTTGGTCTCTTTTCATGCTACCCAGAGTGCCCTGTATGTTCCTCAGAGCAAAACTCTTGGAAATCAGTGTGACACATGCCGCTCAGTGGCCCCAACCCACAGATCACACAATTATTCTCTGTGGCAATGTGTTTGACCTTGGCATGCCCTAGCCAGCCCCTCTTATTTGTCACATGTTGTATGTAAAACAGGCAAGGCTGGCACAGTTTTTTTTCTTGCCTGAGCGTTAGGGTGGCATGATTTTCTCTGCATTATAAACTCATCTGCCTGTCAAACTTTACTGGTCATTTGAACACAAATAAGACATATAATAAAATATTTGTACAGAATGTCTGTTTAGATGTATTTAGGTTGCTATGACATGACTACATCCACATGGCAGAGGGGGGCCTCTTGGATTAGTGGACAGAGCCGTGGACACTTGGGCTCCTGGATTAAGCCTGCCATCAACTAGCTGTGTAAGTTTAAGTTCACAGAGTTTCTGTCTCTATAAACTATGGGAACTGGATGTAAAATGAGGGGTCTACTCTGTGAACTTGAAGGTCTTTTGTAGCTCCAACAGCTCATGCCTCTAAGAATGATGAAATCACAGTCTTATTAGCCAACAATGTGTCATGTATCATTAAGTCTGATGAATGACAGAAAAAATGCTCTTTGATATTGAAAGATGAAGCCAGAGGGAAGGAGTCTGATTAAACATTATACCCCTATGAGTGATATAGTAGGAAGAACATCAGTGGGGTCACCAAACTCTGGAAAACCACAACTAGTCAGGTACCGCTGGCAACGTGGAAATGTTCGTTTTAGGATTAGGAAAATAAAATATGACTTTACTGAACAGAAACACATCTTGGGATACTTTTAACTCAAAGATGAATGATGTAATTTAAGGGAAATCTTGCTCAATTAATAGGTTACAAAAGGTGTTTTTGTGTTGCACCTCTAGCCGTGAGAGACGGAAGCCTTGCAAGCGGACTCTGGTGCATCTGTGTGCACAGGAGAAAGCAGCGCTGACCACGTGACTGGCGCAGGTGGCTTTTTTATGTCCTAGAGAGAAGCCCCAGGTCTCAGAAGGTGTGTTCAGGCTCACTAATCACAGTCCATGAAACCCCAGAGCTTTCTGAGCAGAGAGCGGGGCTGGTGGCTGCTTCCCACATCCATCCTCTGTCACCTCAAGCCAGCATGCTGGGCTCAGGGCCCCTCACCACACGTACAGCCCAGACACCCACAGAACATCCCTTTGTGTCCTCAGTGGTGTAGAGAGCTATGGGTCAGTGCCTTCTTTGCTGTCCCAGATCCCACGTGGAGGGTGTGGACACTCTACAGAAGACCATGTAGCGGGCTGACAGGTGGGGTTACCTTTGGAATAAAGCTGATCTCCCACCCGTCGAAGGAGAAGGAGAAGGGCTCCCACTGCACCTCCACGGTGGTCTCTGTGATGGTCTTGAACTGCAGCCCTTGAGGAGTGGAGAGATCTGGAACACAGCAATGTGGGGACCATGTCATAGGGTCCTGGGCAGGGACAGAGAGCATCTCTGGGGGCTCTGGCTGGGTGTGCTCCTCCCATGCCAATCTTATCTCTCTCTCTCTCTCTCTCTCTCTCTCACACACACACACACACACACACACACACGGTGGGTCCCAGGTGCAGGGGTGGGCTGGTGCCAAGTCTTGGTGGAATACATGAAAACGTAACAAACCCAATCTAATAAATACTTGTTTATGCTTTCTAGTCATAATATGTTATTGAAGTACAAAAGTCACACTTTCCTTCCCTTACTAACGTGGTAAATCTTGGCATTAAACATAATGCCCTTTTTGGAGAACCTGAATGCTATCTTTGGCGGCTTTAAGGATTCCAGAGAGGCAACAGAATGGCTGAGTGTTCCCATTTCACACCCAGGAAGAGGGAGGAGGCACAGTGAGGTGACTAGAGGTGTGGACCATACCCACTGCAGAATGAAGACAAGGATGCTTTTCCTGACCCTCTTATGGGCAGGAAGAATATATTGTTAGCTCAAATAAGAAAGTGTAGGAAGGCCTGAACTGTCCATTTCATGTCCACAATCAAAGCAAAGTCACACACAAGGGAGAAGAACAGATTCTGGGGTTTTGCTCTTATTTGACTATTTCCTCCTTTTCTCCAGTGATTCATTTATCATTTCTCTCTTCTCTGCCTCATCACTGTGGCCTCCCTTACCTCGTTATTTTCTTCTTCTCTTTCCTTTTCCTATGCACACGCACACACACACATGGACACACACGTGGACAGGTCAGTGAGGTGGCAGCATGCTCGCCCTGGTGCAGTTCCCATCACCAGCCCTGGAACATGCCCGCGTGCCTTTTCTCAGTTCTGTGGGGAGCCTGCTTCCCTTTCAGCTTTGCCCCTCCCGGGATATTCTCCTCCTTCCTGGGCAGAAGCTCCCTCATGTCTCTTGGTTAAAAGGCAGGACTGATTCTGAGCCAACTCGAAGCCACGTCAGGTGCCTCGACATGATTTTGTCCTTGTTACCTGGGAGCTTGCCTGAGGGGATGCCCTGACGTGGCATAAGAAATGCCACAGGAGGTGGAAAGCTCATCACTGCATGTGCACAAGGACCAAAGGCAAGTGCATGGGACTTGGGCCAGGCGCTCGCTGTGGTGACTCATCCCGGAGCAAGGTGGGGACAGCGCAGATGGGGACCTGCCTCTGCACCATCACTGTGGATATTTAAGACTAGTTCTCAGGCACCAGGGGGATTGGGGGGGAAAAGGTCAGATATAAACAGAGAAACAGAGCTAATTATAGGCACATTAACAGTCATCGCTCACAAGAAGAGTCCAATATGATAATAGGATGTTTATCAACTGAAAAGCAAGGGACAAGAGGATTTCTTAAATCCTGTCCCCTCTGCCTGTCTCTATCCTTATATCCTTCAAAGCTCAGTCCACATCCTGAGAACTCCAGGAAACCTCCAAGCCAACTCTTTCTCCTTTGACCTCCCCATTTTCTGAACTTTCACAATATTTGTTACCCAAGTACTATCTTGTCATTTGAGATGAACATAAAATGGGCCCCGATCTCTTAGTTCATATTTGGTGATAAGTTTCATTTATGACCCAAGAGCTTATGGTTCATGGTCACCCCTTGTTCTGGTTCTGCGCTACTGCTAAAATCTCTGTGACATCATGAACAAAAATAGACCGAGAGACATAGAAGCACAGAATAGACTGTGGAACCTCAGAGGGCAGGCAGGGAAGGGCGGGTGGGTGAGAAGAGATCAACCAACAAACTTGCATGCATATATGAATAACCCATGGACACAGACAATGGGGTGGCGAGGTCCTAGGGTTGGGGGCGGGGGCAGGCTGGAAGAGGTCAATGGGGTAGGGGGGAAGGGGATATATGTAATAGTTTCCACAATAAAAATTAAAAATAAATATTTGGTCTTTGTCGCTGGTTCCTAGCACACTGCTCCTAAAACACTTGGAATCTCTGGACTAATAAGATCTTTTGTGTGATTATGAGATAATTGGCGGCTGGGCCCCCAGATAGCCTGTCTCTGGAGAAACCAAGGCATGATGGGAGGGTTGGAACCTTCAGCCCCACTCCCAACCTCCATGCCTTAATCAATTGTGCCTCCATAATCAACTCTCCATAAGAAACCCCAAACAGGGGGGGGCTCAGAGAGCTTCCGGGGGTACACACATGGAGGTACTGGGAGGCTGAGTACCCAAGGGGGCATGGAAGCTCCACGCCCATCCCCTACATACCTTACCTAACACACCTCTTCATCTCGCTGCTCCTGAGTTGTGTCCTTTATAGTAAGTTGGTAAGTAAAGCACTTTCCTGAGTTCTGTGAGTTGTCATCATTAATTATCAAATCTAAGGGGGAGGCTGTGGGGACCCCCTGAGTTTATAGCCAGGGGGTCAGAAGTATTGGTGACAAGCTGGGACCTGAAGTGGGGGCCATCCCCTGAGACTGAGCCTAAACCTGTGGGATCTGACACTTACTCCAGGTAGTGTCAGAATTGAGCTGGTGTCTGAGAGTCAGGAAGTGGCATTGGAAATGATTTAAGAAGTCAGAGGTGTATAAAGAGAAAAAAATAACAGTGACTTCCTAACTCCTTCCCAGTCTCCTCCTTAATATAGTCAATGTTAATAGTTGGTATGCAATCTTCTAAAATTTGTGCTTAAATAAACATACAAAATACAGAGACACACCTATAGGAGTTTTCCCTTGTTATAAATGAAAAAGGAAAATGCCCATTTCTTAACGAGAGCAGTTTACTTGCTCTCTCTCTCCCTCTTTTTTCCCCATTGAAATTTTCTAAACTATGTTCTAGAGCAGGGGTGGGGAACTTTTTTCTGCCAAGGGCCATTTGGGTACTTATTACATCATTTGCAGGCCATACAAAATTATCAACTTAAAAATTAGCCTGCTGCATTTAGTCAAATGTTTAATTAACTCACCCCAAATGATTTTGCAGGCCTTATACAGTCCTTGGGCTGGACATTCCCCACCCCTGTTCTAGAACCTCAACTTTTATAATCAAAATGGACTATCAAGATATTTTGTTAAACAAAAGACCACCAGGAAATAATGCTCCATGAGAAGTGGGTGTTGTCAGCTGTGATCTTAAATAAGTTATTTTCCCACCCTACTATACACTTACCATCTGTAACACACCTTTAGCGCACGCATATCATATGTCCCATTTCAGATCTCCTGGTTTTAATCTCTAACTAGAACCAAAGCCTGTAGAATTCTCATAACTTCCCTTGACCTCTATACAGATCTAGCTTAGAACAAGAAAGAGCTCAATAAAGTACTTTTTGTCTTTTGTTTCTGTAATTGATGGAAGCTGCCTGAGTTTGGAAAGCCTGTTCATCGAAGTGCCTTTGTATCGGCATACCCTTTCCCAAGGGGGTCATGCCGGAAGACTGTCCCCTCAAGTGCAATGACTATTGCAGGCATCCCTGAAGAATTAAGAAAAGACACTGCGTACTGTCATGAATGCCCATGATCTCATGGAGGAGAAAAGAAAAATGAAGCAGGACGGGGAAATGGTACGTACGGGTGGCCACCTTGGCAGTGATGGGAAGGCTGAGGATGTTGCTAATGACAGCATAGACGCTGATGTTGTAGGTGAGACCTGGCTCCAGCTCTGTGATGGTGACACCACGCCAATCTCCAGGCACCCGCTGCTGGAGCTGGAGGCCCCCCAGGGCCGTCGGCTGGTAAGAGATCACATATTCCGTCACTGCCATCGGCCCGTCCCATTCCAGCTCAATGGACCTGTCGCTGATACCAGCCACTCGCAAGTCCTCTGGAGGGGCAGCTACCGGGAGGCAATACACAGATAGCATGAGCTCAGAGGACTGCCTTCTCCATCCTCGACTCACCTTTCTCCCTCACATCTCACCCCAGGTGCCCTTTTTCAATGTTCTGCTCAGCTCACTGGCTGGGTGATTTCTAATGCCCTTTGTGCGCAGGTTCTTGACTTTCTGTGCTTAGTTTTCCCACCTCCATGGGGCCCTGAGTCAGTGGTGTGCTGGAATCAGCTCCTACTGACTCCTGAAAGTTGATGGTCAAATTCTCCCGAATTTTGCAAGACAGTTGTTAAATACAGCCATTGTGAATGATTAAATATAAACTCAGAATTAAGTAAATTATATTATAAACAAAGGTAAGAAATACTCAAAATTCATCAGTTTCAAATTATTTTGCTACATTTTACTATTTTCTATGCCCTTGAGGTAATGTACATGTGTTATGTCTCTCTGGTGGCAATGCTATATAATTGTATTCTACTGCACAGCTATTGCCAACTCCATGTGTAGTGATGTCATGTTGGTAGTTTGAAATTGGCCACAGAGGGAGTATTTACACCATGGAAATTGGCAAATGCTATAAAGGCAACCTCTTACAACATTTACCAACACACCTGCATCTGTTTCTTCTTTCCTGGGTTATTGACTCCCTCTTGGTTGAGTGCTTGGCTGAGCTTCATGCTGCACCACAGCCTCCTTAAAACTGGAATCCTAACTGCTCCCTGCATTCATCTGGGGCCAGCCACCTGGGTTAGGTTTTCCCTCCCCTCCTGGGAAGTTGATTCCTTGTTCAGGTATAAAGCAAGAACTTTCATTTTTTTCTTCAGTTATTAGATACTTAACAGCATACCAGTAGGCCAAAATTTTTGATAGTTTAATAAGTTGTCACCAAATTACCCTAGAAGACAATATTTGATTTTGCAAGTGGAAATAAAGGCTTACTCCTGGTTATTTTTGTAGACAACAAGAAGCCTAAACAGTAAGTCCTGGATACCATGGACAGTTAAAGACATACAATCATGCTTTATTGTATCATTTTCTCTGCTAAAAAGATACTTTAAGTTTTGAAAGAAATGTAACTTAAGCTAATTTTTATTAGCCTTGATCTTGGGGATAATGATAAAGAAGCATTCTTGAGGGCTTTGCTTTTCTCTCTTGTTCAAATGCTAATCAAAGAATCACCAAAGATTAAACCTCCTAGAAATAGCCTTTCATGTATGGTTCTCTTAGGAAACAGAGATTCACCAGGAATGTGGTATTAAATAATTGAACCTTTAAGACCAATTAGGAGGCTAATTCTAGTGTGCCTGCAGTTGGTGCTCATAGATGAAATCAAAGATCAGGCCAATATTTAAATAGTCATAATTAACGTGTAAGTTTATATGTAATGGAAGCTTCGGTTAGTTTGAAAGTTGCCATTGGTTTTGAATTTCTCCTCCAAGAATTCTCATTTTTTCTTTTTTATCGTATAAGAGTGTAGGACTGAGTCGGCTATTGTACACAGGATTTGTGTGTGGAATGTGGCTGCCCCCTCCCTGCCGTTGTGCTCACATGTGCACCCTCAAATCCTCGGTAGTGGCCGACAAGAGGCGTCCAGACTCTTAGGATGGACATTAGGACCACATATTTGCAATGTTGAGTATCTGCTTTGATTACTTTTGCCCCAAACTGTTCGTTGTGTGAAACAGTCTAAGCAACAGAGCTTCCTCCGACTGCAGATGGCAAATGTTGACCAAAACCACACATTGAAAATTTATTCTTTAAATGTATAAAACTAAATGTAAATGAAATTTAAATAGACTTTCAAATGATAATTGATAATAAGCTCATATCATTTCTAATTCTGACATTACTGAAATTTAAACTGCACTAAGAACACTGTGTAGAGTGCCTACAGAATAATGCCTGGACCAAGGGGGAATGAAAGAATTGATCTATAGAATCCAACGGTAGTTTGCGTGACTATAGTAAGCATTTATTATGCATCAGGAACGATGCTAAATCCTCTCACCAACACTGTGGGACATGTATCATTATTACCCCTATTTTATAGATGAGAAACGAAACTGTCAGCAGACACAGAAGCTATGGTTTGAACCAGGCAGAATGGGTCTAAGCTCTCACCCAGTAAGCAACACCCTTTGAGGCGGCAAAGCATTTCACAGTCTATCACAGCGCTTGCCAACTGGTGGTCTGCGGACCACTAGTGGTCCGTGAGGTCCTAAAGGTTGGCGATCACTGGTTTAAGGAAACCTTTCTGACTCTATAAAACATGTTCAGACACACATTCTAATTAGAATTTTTAAAAATCTGTCCATAGCAGCCCAACTGAAGCAGATCGTGTCGCTATAATGATCCCAGCCTTATAGATGGAGAAACTAAGGCCCAGTTAAGGGACTTGCCAAAAGCCCAGGAAGTGGGTTACAGAAGAACTGATTCTCAAATCCAGATAATCTACACTGAGTGTTCCTTCCCTGCCAGTTTGTAGACCGGGTCATGGTGATGTCAGATGTCTTCTTTCATGTATACACAGCCTCCAACGGAAAACCAGGTTGGAAAATAATTCAGACTGTCCTTTAGTGGGTGAATTCCAGACTGCTTATCGTAGCAACTTCTTTTAAAAACGGGTCTCTAGTGCCTGCGCCCCGTGAGTCACACCGATTCCAGGCTTCCTCTGAGGGATGTCCCCTCCCACAGTGACAGGAATGGCCCTTCCAAATTTCCTGTCACCAGCAGCTCTTGGGGCATTTGGGACAAGTCAGTATTCCTTTTTGGTTCCTTCTTCCCAAAAAAAAGCTACAGAAGATGCCAACAGAGGATGATCCCAGATGAGCATTTGGGGATTTTAAAGTAAAAATGAGGTACGGAAGGATTTTTTATCTTGATAACTTCACCTGGCAAGGTTTTATCGTGGGACACGAGGCTGGTGGTAGGCACTGCTTCTCCTTCTGATGAGATGGTCCCCACTTGCCTTGAAACTGGCAGGAGCTGTGTGCACTGGGGGTCAGTAATTCCTATGAAATGAAATGGTACTGAACTTAAAGCAAACTATAAAGGAACCATGTGCCTTGATGCTGTGAATTTAGGGTGCAAAGCAGTGTCTTACTTTCTGGGGTTCCAACCTTGAAACCTGGGGAAGAGAGGGTGATTAAAAGGGAATAAATTGGGCCCAACTGGTTTGGCTCAGTAGATAGAGCGTCCACCCGTGGACTGAAGGACCCAGGGTTCCATTCTGTGTCTCTCTCACATCGATGTTTTTCTGTCTCTCCCTCTCCCTTCTACTCTCTCTAAGTATCAATGGGAAAATATCCCTGGGTGAAGATTAACAACAACAACAAAAATGGAAAAAAACTGGTTTGAAGCATGGAGTTGCATATCTGCAAAGATGCCATGCTGTTTCCCTTGTAGATTTGCATCAATGTTGCACCTAGATTAGTTGCATGAAGTGTTTTGCTCCAACGAACGAGTGATTTCAGGTGCCAAAGGCAGGGCTGGCTGGGGTGCAGGCAGAAGCAGAGGCAGAGGCTGACGTTGATGAATCCCCATGGGTCTGACGGAAGTCCGGGGACCCTGCTCTGCTGGTTCTTTCACACATTGGCCAGCTCCCGCATTAACCTGCTGCACTGGGGGAGGTGTGAACAGTTGGTTCCAACATCTGATTTCTTTTTATCATTTGACAGAGCTTGGCTTTCATATCAAGAGGCTATTTCTTTGTGTATGTGGCTTTTCACATTTTTATTTTTCAGTTCCTCTCTAC